TTGCCCAATTTAACGTGCCCCTTACTATTTTTTTAGAGTAATAGCGTGCTCCCGCTACAAATATTAGGACTAAAACATTAGATTGATGACCACTGTTTAAGGGATTTATGATACCAAATATCTAAAATTAAGGATGAATGTAATATAAAGCCTATATCGGGTTCACTTACATGAGAGAATTTTTTTAATCGACCTATCCAATCCTACTATATTTTTTCAAATACGAAAGAATATCTGACATCTGATCGACCCGAGTTTAGTTAGATCAAACTCGGATATTTTCGTGCAGGGACACTAAATTCAATCATTCATATAACCGATTGTATGTTTTAATTAATTAAAGTGAAAAATATGCGAATATCATTTTTGAATATGCTTCCAACAACTTTGGAGAAAACTTGAACGATTTTGTATGGCTAGCTTGTGAATCAGTGTTAAACGCTAATAATATTCTAAAAGGTAAAATATATACTATATGGATATTTTTTTAAAAAAATTCTTGATACATTTTTAGGTACGTTAGGAGTTAGGTTAAAAGGACAAGATATCTTAAAACAAATTGATCTTCTAATTGATCTAATTGAGCGAAGTTTAAATAGATATAATCTTCAACAATCCCGGTTAGACAATATTTGTAAAAACAGAAATAAATGGCGTTTAGGGCTAATTATATACGAGTAATAAAACTTAAAATTTCAAACGAATATTTTTTAAAATATTTTTATTGATTGATTATAATTGTCTATATATTTATAATCCAATTGACGATCGATTAATAATTGATTTATCATTTATCATTTACTAAAGAGATATAAAGAATGGTTATAAGACATATTTAAAAAACTTAATTTTTGAAAACAATGGAGAATTGCTGAAAAATGAGTACAAGATTGTCAATTATGGAACGAATCAGTCTGTTAGAGATATTGGACGATACTCCGAATTGATAGTAATTCCATGATTTTTAATTATCATTTCTAAGACTTATTAAGATAATCATAACCCTTATTTTTATATTAGCGAAAAATATGCTCATCATAAAATATGACGATCATTCTATTATATCTTAATTGTTTAATATAAACTATTCATGAATATTACTTAACCATAATATATTTTATAAAATGGGCTTAAAATTACTGGTCAATTGATATAAATAACAAAATTTTGTCGGGAAGATCGGAGCTAAAGGGCAGGAGGGCGAAAAGGTAAACGTCTAAAACTTTTTCATCGAGCTAATTATTTGCCTAAATATCTATACATACTATTATCATCTGTTTAATTAGGAGTGAAAGCTCGTATTCAACAGCTTTTGAGCATAACAATATTTTCTTTTGGTACTTTTTGTTTTGGGACAAAAGTATACCCTTTTGGAATTTTATGAAGTTTATAGGATATATTTCTCAATATATAAACTAACGTATAAATTTAATACGAGGTTTCAGCTTATCTAGAAAAATTAGTTAGGTTAAACTAACCCTAGGGTGTAAGGGCAAAGGGTAAAATGGGAAATTTGCGGCACAAGAATCTCCCAGGGTATCGACCTATGAATTTTGTAAGTAGATTTTTTAATGTGGAATCCACCCACTGACATTTGATATATTGATAGATAATATTGTAATGATGAATTTTGAGATTAAATTACTTTAAATCATATTATTCCTAATAACACCCAGACCGCTGATGCAAGTCTCGGATCAGTTGATGAGTCTATACTCGATTCACTATCTAATTATGGCAGCAAGCACTTCTACTACTGGTGGATGGAGGGGGGGGGAAAGGAGTATAACATAGATCATCATTGAAATATTATAGGAGTGGAAGGGAAGTAGCGGAAAATAGGGATGGAAGGAGTAGGAGGTATAGTTTCTCTAAACTAATTTTGATGATTTATATTTACCTTTATTGCTAAAAAATATTTAGGAGGGGGAGAAGAAAGGGAGGGGGGAGTAGAAGGAGGGTTGAAATTTTTAGGTGGGCTTTCCCGATTGGTTTAGAACTATATTAAGACTCTATATCCTAATAGACAAAAAAGGAGTAAAAAATTGTCAAAAATTATATCATCATCTCCATCATAGACCTGCAGGCCCGACACGAAGCCTGGCCCGTGTACCCGGGCCGGGCCAAATTTTAATTTTTTAAATATACCCGGATCGGGCCAATCCCCGTGCAAATGGTATCTCTGCAGGTCTCTGATCTCCATACAATTTTTTTTTATTTTATAAAAATGAAAGATTTTTTAAAAGGATTGGAATTGTGTAGTGTGCCGCTTAAAAGGCAATAAAAAGTAGGAAGATTTTATACACTGCATTTCCATGTTTATCAAGATTATTTTTTTAGTGTCTTTATTGTTAGGACCATTTTTTTAAAAAATTCATAATTTGCTTTAATTATTCATTAAATAAAAATAAAAAATTATCTACTAAATTTGATATTGGTCATTATACCCCGCCCGAAGAATTTTCCATTTTACATAGGGTCGTTGGTAGAGTAAAAGACACGACTACTTAATCCTAAATAATACCCACAGAATAAAAGGCCTGAAATAGCGGTTTTTTAATTTTGTAATCGAATGATCCGGTTATCTGGTGATACAATTAATAACATTAAAACTTTATCGCAAAAGAGAAAATCGTTCATATAACCTAAACCTCTAAAATAAATTATAGCCAAGGAATGTGATAAAATATTCTAACCACTTTATGAAAATATAAATCTGATTTTTTAAAAAAATTAGAATATCAATTTAATAAAATAATTTCGTTGAAAAAATGATACATTCACAGGACAAACCCGAAAATGATGGTAAATTAATGCTAAACGTTTCTAAAATCTCGTGGGCTGGAAAGTTTGATGGTATTCCACAAGGATACACGTTACCTCATTATTTAAAAGTTTTTATCTTTGATATACATAAATGTTATATAAATTATAGATAGTAACTTTTGAAGAAAAGCCATTTGTATTCGTGAAAAAAATTCCAGTAATAGAAGATTGCTTTTTAAAATATAACGGTCTCTATTGTCCTAATGAGGGAGATCAAAGTAAGTTGACTTTAAAAAAAATTATTCAACTTAGCCTTTCTTTTTTAACTATCGTACATAGTGAATTAATAAATATTTTTAGATAAAATTCATAAATCAGACAAAATATGGAAATTTAATAAGGGTTTTTAGAAAAATATTTTAATAATAAGTTTTAATCGAAGATATTAATCCCGAATGGGCCATTAATTTTATATGTTTAAATTCTGAAATATTTTTTTAAAAACAAATTTATCTTGTATAAAATATTAGACTCTATTGCCTTATTGTTTGTTAGATAATAAAGAAAGAGGATCAAATTTCCATCCATTCCTGCCTTTTTTCAGGAGCTGTAACTACCTTATCTGAAACGGCATGCACCTAGATAAAATATCTATTTGTTCCATTCTAACTATTTCTTAATAATTTTTCTCCATAAAATTTCAATTGCCATAAAAAATATTTATATTAAGCTGATCATACCATTTGTATTTCATTTTTAAGATCTAGCGATAGGATGCTTTTGTCCGTGAGTCTATAATCATAATAACTAGGGCTATCTTATTGTGAAGTGGATTGCATTTTTTAGTAATTAAATCCCAGAATTTAAAATAACTGCTCACAGATGACACAGAGGTAGCCTTCCGTGAAAAATAATCCCTGGAATTTATGGGTAGGAATTCGAGAATATAATTATTTATTTTAAAATTATTTTCATTTTTTATATATTTATTTCTTTGAATCTAGTGCCCCTTTTTAAAAAGTGCGGGAAGTGATTTAAAAAAATCTATACTACCATTTTTTTTACAAAATGTTAAGCACTTCAAAATTTTTAAGAAAATACCTAATTTTAGGTCTTAAAAACGGTGTGCATCCCAAAACGCTCTATCTGGGATAAAACGCTTACTTACAAAGGGACATATCTAATCCTGTATAGAAGCTCCTCTTTAGTCTTAGACTCTTTGACCTTTTCTATTATATAGCCAATAATTAAAATCCGCCTTAATTGTTTGTAATTAAACATAATAATTTATGAAGCCGGTATGAAGACTTTTTGATTAGACTAATACATATTTTGAGATAGGGCGTTGGTATTGTATTGACTATATTTCATGAGTAAAATATAAAATTAGAGTTTTAAGAGAACTTTTAAAGAAAAGACTGAATTGGTTTGAATAAATTTGTCGAAAAATATAGTAATAAGATATTGTTTTATGGTAGAAAATGCGACGCATAATTGTTGTTATGGTTATTGTATTGATTTATTCCAAAAACTAGCTGCCCAATTGCATTTCCAATTCGACGTATATTTAAAAGGAGATACGGATCTCAAAGTTAATCTAATCATTATCCATGATTAATTATATTATATATAGATAGTTGGAAATGAAAATAAATATATTGGGGTAATAAAGGATATTCTGTATGAGAAGGCGGATATGATATTAGCACCTTTAACAATAACGACAGAACGCTCTAAACTATTGTCATTCTCTAAACCATATAGGTACCAAGGAATATCAATCTTACAAAAAAGAGTATGATAGTTTATACTATAATTTATAAATAATATATTTACATTTATTTACTTTAGCAAGAAACTAAATCTAATTTACATTCATTTTTACAACCATTCCATTTGGATTTATGGATAACAATCTTCATATCTGTTAATTTCGTTGGTTTATTCGTTTATATCTTAGATCGATTTAGCCCGTTGGGAGGTCACCATTTAGCAAAAGTGACCAGACAATTAAATCGATTAAAACAGAATTTTTATTTAAAGAGATTGAATAATAGGTAAATCTATTTAGGGACATAGAACAATACATTTTTTTGTTCCTGTTAAATTTTCCGTTTTTCATCAATTTACTGAAAGTTGAATTTTTGGGTTCTTGGTCCCCTTGATATTTAACTAATATTTTTTGAACACTTATTTATAATCCAAATTTTCTTTAAAAAAAAGTGAACATTATCCATCATCTTCAAATATATTTCATGAAGTAGTCGATCAAGAGACTCATACTGAGGAAATCTTACATCTACCTAAAGCTCTTTGGTTTGCTTGGGGAATCTTACTTAACACTGGCATAGGAGAAGGTATAAGGCAAAAATTATTTGTATAATCTTTAAAATAAATTTTAAAAAAGGAACACCAAGGAGTTTTAGCGGAAGGGTAATGAGTATGTTTTGGTCAGGGTTTACTATGATTATAGCTACATCCTACACGGCAAATCTTGCGGCCTTTTTAGTTTTGGATCGTCCTGAACAAATTATAAGCGAAATTAATGATCCGAGAGTATATAATATTATATTTAAAAAATAATAATTCTTAATATTATAAATCTGAAAGTTAAATTCTTAAGGGATTAATAAAAATTTACCATCTATGGCAGTTTTGAAAACTTTTTAATGGGCTTTAAATTTTGTTTATTAAAAGATTTGAAATTAAATTAAAATACAATATATTATTTAAGAAAATTTAACTCAATAAAGGGCTAGGTTATTATACTTGAATTTGTTTATTGTTAAACTAACCAAAATTGTGATTTCACTTTCTTTGAAAGTTATTAAATTTAAACATAACTCAATCAGTTTACATCTTAAAATAATGCTAACTTATCAATATGGGCTTTTGACTATTTTTATTCATAAGAATTAAAGAATGTTATTGATAATAAATTGAAAATATTAAACCTAAAAACATTTTTTTAATACTATATTTAAATTATAATTTTTTAAAACATTTTTTTAAGACTATATTTAAATTATAATTTTTAAAATATTCGTCTCCATTTCATGGATATCTGACTTAAAAGAAAGATGTGCTTGATAATAATTTCAAGGTTAAAACATTTTTTATAGATTCCGATTTCAGACAGATTTTTTTAGAATATGGCTGATTTTGTAAAAAATATATTTTGTTTTTATTTGATTATTTCTAGTTAAGGAACCCAAACGAAAATTTTTCTTTCGCTACGATACAAGGTTCTGACGTAGATTTATATTTTAGGAGACAGGGTGATTTGTCTAATGTATATCGCAAAATGAGTACTAAGAGTTATTCGAAAATCGAGCAAGCTATAAAAGACATTAAAATAGGGTTATATAATTTCATTTTGCAAACTTTTAGTTACCAATAAAAATTAAAGATTTAGTATAATAGTCAAAAGATATTTTAATATAAATAATTATGTCCTAATTTTGTAAGATCAGTCGGTATAGCAAAGGCTCTTAACTTCAAGGTCGTTAAACGTCAACGTTGTTAATCACTATTAGGAAGGTGAGAGGACGTAGGGTTGGGAAGTCTCCGGCTAGTCATGCGATTAGTTACATTCAATAGGAGGGAAAAGATGGCTTAAGTAAGACAGGTAAACAAGATAAGAAATAGATTACTTCGATTGGAACTAATCAGATATAGATAGAGTAATAAATACTTCCAATGCCTCTGAACGGATAAGGGTATAACTGCGATAGTATTTACTCTTATATCTATGTGACAAAGCAAATGCATATATGTGCGCTACTCAATAATAGGTATCATCAAAATATTAAGTTACAAAAACGAATAAAATAAAGGGACGTAACCAAAATATAATGAAGCACATGAAGTCAGGTAAGCCAAAAATAATCAATTTGCAAAGGATTTCTTCATTTATATATTTTTTATAAACATCAATTTCCCAATTAAGAAACTATATAAAATTAAGCCAATAATATATTAATGTTAAATTAAAATTAAATGATTGATTTGCAAATATTCAATTTATCTTTAATAAATTAGGCCAATATGAAAATAAAAGCCAATTTAACAAAAAGATTCCAGGTAACTAAAAGTTTGAATGCCATTTTGTAAATAAATACTTGTGTATATATATAATATATCAGTTACCTGTTTGAAATTAAAGTTTTCCTATTATAATTAAGTAGTTTTATGCATTAGTCTGTAATAAGAAAGTTTGTGTAGTAATTAATTAATAATAAGAGTGAGAAACAAGAGATTAACATAATATGACTTATGCATTGATATAAGCAACACTCATGTCGTTTTGTCTTTAATATTTTTAAAAATTTATTTGATCTAATTTGTTTTTATGCTCATATAATAGCAAACCCACTTATAAGTTATTAAGTTATCCCACCTTTAAGGTTTGGATTTCTGGTCCTAGATATCTTATAATTTAGAATTTATGATGTCGGTTTAAGTTATAATTTATAGTTCCTCGAGAATTTTCATGACCTTTTTGCACTTTACAAATTTTTCCAATAATAGCCTCTTCCTGAAAATTCTGATCATTTAATTCGCATTTTTAGATATTATTAAAATTATGTCAAATTTTATTTTATATTTGATATTTGAAATGTTAGTTTTCAAATAATTTTATTTGATAGATTATAATAAAGAAATTTAAAAAAAAAATAAATTAGTTAAACTTTCATAGGTGAGAGCCATTTAATATTGATCTCCTTAGGTCGATAATTCACATCCAAAATTGCTTATCAATATGTTTTATATATTGACAACCTCTTTGTGTTGACAAAAAAAATCGACAGGATAAAATATCAATAATCAAAAAATTTAACGGGAACAATTTAGATAAAAAAAATATATAATTTATCAGCAAACTGCAAGCTTTTATATGGGAATCATCGAGACTACAATATGAAGTGTCAAAAGATTGCAACTTGGTGATATCACCTCAAATATTTGGCATGTCCGGATATGGTATAGCTATGAAAAGGGGGAATTTGTGGTTACCATTGATTTCAAAAGCTATACTCAATTTCCATGAAAGTAAAATTTTTATACCCTATTAAATCCATTAATAATTCATTTTATAAATTTAAAAACTTAAAAGCTGGAATTATGGAAAAAATAGATAAAGAATGGATTAACGTGAAAAACGTGTCAAGTAATTGCAAAGTGAAGGAAAATCAAAGGGCAACTTTGGGTGTTTCAAATATGTTAAGTAAATATCACAAGATTGCTTGATACAGTTATTTTATATGGTTCTAATATAACTCCAACTTTGGTAGAAATTGAGATAGGGTCAGGTCAATAAATAAAATAATATGTTTTTTTTAGATTAAGCATAAGCAGATGTCATGGTGTAATGTTAAATGCATCTCCTGTAAAATTGATCCAAATTGCAGTTCGAATTTTATTAATAGTCCACGAAAAATATATCATAAAAACCATTTAAAATTATATTTTATTAATAAGGTGTTTTCATACTGATTTTTGCCGGGATTTTAGTTGGTTACGGAATGTTATCCATAGAAATTATATGGAAAAAATATCAAAACAAAAAGAAGCGTCGTTATGCATTAGCTCAATCATATTTCGAGAGATGGCGGATCAATACTTTGGTTCGTATTATATCTTATACTCAAAATTATAATTCATTTTTTTTTGCATTCAGAGAAATAGAAAAGTGCGAGAGGCTACAAATGAGAATGAGTATTCGATGAGAATATAATTATAAAATAGAATATATTTTTATAAATTATATAATTCTTATTGTGCGTACTTTTCTTTTAAAAAATAAATCTGTATAATATTTAATAATATAATCAAATCAATTCATTAATTATGGTACAGAAGTTTGAGTGGGCAAATATTTTGATATCCAACATAACATGTCCTGAAGAGAGTCCATTTTAAAATGTTTAGATATTATAATAAAAGCTTTAACAACCGACACTAATCGTTTAGAAGAGAGCACAAATTTATATGAGCCGTTGCATGTGCATCTAATAACTATATTAGCCTCTTTTATCTTTTTTTTTAAAAAAAAGAGTTTAACAAGTGTTTATAAAGAATATATATCTAAGTTACCTCCTGGCATTTTTGGCAAACCAAATCCTGTAAAACATACTTCATTAATTTATTTTTGGTGACTTTGATTAGCATGCCCTCAATCATGTCTTTATTCAGAAAATTCGGACAATTTATACATTCCCAATTCAACCTATAATTTTTTTAATAATCATATTAATGTACATTTTGTTCAAAATAAAGATCTTACTGCAAATTGCTCGTTTTTTTTAGTTGCATAATTTTTAAACATTATATTTTTAACCCAATGTTCATATTAGAAATTTTAAAATTGATATATATTTGTGTTTTTATTTTTTTTTTCTCATTGATAGAATAGATTGATAATTAATGCCTAATTTAAACAAAGATGCGCATATTTAAGAAAAAATGCTCAATTTAGAAGCATTTGTTGAATATATTTTTTTTAAATATAATTGATATTTGTTTTATTGTAAGTTATATTCAAAATTATATATAAGTAATTATGGAAATATTGTTATTCAAAGACTATCAGGAGATTTTTTATGTAAATGAATGTTGATTATATGATATGCAAAATAATTTTAGAGATTTTTTTAAGAAAGAAAGAAAGAAAGAAAGAATTATTTTAAGTTTTTTTAATGCTTTAATTTTATGATTTTACTTATGTTTAAATTTGTTACCTGATTGATAAATGAAAGGATGATTTGTTAAAAGGTATTTAAATTTACATTAAATTATTTCTATTTTAGGTTATTAATCTTATTCGCTTACTTCTTCCCCAATTCCTAAATCTTATAGCATTATTATGCCTTCATTTCTATTTCATTTTCCGAAGAAATGTTTAATATTATGGTGAATCAAGGTTATATAATAAGCATTTTAGCCTATTAGAGTCAGTGGTGTAAGCAATGCAGCGACCCCAATAGATTTCCACTAGCCCTCTTTCCTCTCTTCTCGGTAAAAAAAATTCCTGTTTGTTATACCACTGATTGGAGTAAATCTCTCATATATAAAGGTAATAATACTAATATAAAGTGAGCTTTACTCTTTATTTTCCTCTTCTATATTAATATCCCTGCAAATATCCAAATCTCTGCAGAAATAACAATTGTCGCAAATAACCTAAAATATTATGTTAAAGGAATAGGAGTGTAAAAATAATATAAACCTCCCTTAGAATAAAAGTCAGGCGAACATCGCTATATTCAGCTTGATCCGAAAATTCACCCACTTGTAACAACTTAAGCAAATTTCTTTTCAACTTGTCAACATATGTTGAAATATTGGTGTCCAGGCTAAGCACCTTTAGCCATTTATAAGTATATTGGAGTTGATAAATTTTTAAAAGATAAATAAATCAATAAAAAGAGGGTATGAAATTAAAATTGATAAAACACATATAGTAAAAAAATGTATAAACATAACTATTAGCGAATTAAGACTAACTTAACATTAGCATTCAACTTTTTTCGTCATTAAAAAATCGGTATATGATAATGATTTTTAAAATATTAAAATAAAATGAAGTTTTAAAAAAATTATATAATCAGTAGGAAAGATAAATGAAGAGTACTGAAGAAGGCGTGAGAACATCTAATTAATTTATTAACATTTCATATTATATTTAACAAAATAATACAATATATTTTACATTCTCGTTCTTATATGTTTTTTCAACTCACATATTATGTAGGATCATTATTTTATTACTAATACAATGGCCTCAAAACATAAATATGCTTATAAATATTCATTAAAATATTTAAAAAATATACTTATTCCCAAATCCATATAAGAAAACCTGAAGTAAAATGTTATATATAATATATATAATATTACGTGACATATTGATTTGGTCAAACTCAAAGCAGGTTGTTCGTTATTGTTAGTAAATTCTTTCAGGAATGCATTTTTGATATTTTTATGGGTAGGAGACGAGGATTCATTGTTGATCGAAGCATAGTTTTCAGATAATCTTTGAACCTTTTGTAATATTCTGATTCGTCGCGTTTAAAAATGATTAATTTTTTCAATTTAATTATGTACAAATGTCTCAATTCAAATTTTCAAAGTCTAAAGCTATTATGTAATATAGAATCATCGAATAGGTAATGGATGCGGTGGCTAAAGAAATGCTTGAAGGACTTCCCTAGGAGCGATGATATGCAGATGACCTTCTATTAATGGAAAACAGTGAGGGAGAATTGAGGGTAAAATTAGTCAATACCTGAAAATGAATGCAGCAAAGAAAAAGGTGATGATTGGTGTAGAAAATTCAAAGATGGAGGAATCCGGTAAGTGGCCTTGTGGTGTATGTGGAAATAGAGTTGATAAAAATTTCAATCCAATGCACCAGGTACCAGAAATGGGTTCATAATAGATATAGCGGGAAAATGGGAAGTCTAATGTTAGCAAGAATGACCTTTATTTGTAGAACGTGCACAAAAGGGGTACATAATAATTAGGGATGTACCGATATTTTATATCGGATCGGGCCGATATTTCGCTCATTTTAAAATATCGGTTATCGGCAAATATTATAAAATTTTCCGATCCGATATAAAATGGCGCTTTTAACAAAATTTAAAAAAAGTTATATCTAAAAATCCATTTATTTTTATAAATAAAATCGGAATATATTTTTATGCTTAATTATTTTAATAGTAATAATTAGTTAATAAACATTCTGCAATATATTTATTTTTTTTCGCATTCTGTTTAAAAAAGTGTTCATTAATCTCTTCAGAATCTGTTTTTAGTGATACTAGTGATATTAACAGTCCCCATCACCGCAGACCGATCTCTGATAAATTGGAAATTTTGGTATTTCTAAAAAGAAATCTTCGATAAATTAATTTTATATATTAATTTCAAATTTCAATATATTTGTTTATTACTAATTATGTAATAGATTAATGTTATTACTTATTATATAAATAATTGCAATTGAATTGAATATAAACTATAACTGATCATTATAATACATTTAAATGACATATGTTATGGTATAGTAAAATTATAGATGTTGTACTAATAAAAAGAATATTAAAAATTAAAACCGGTATCTTTACAGAATACAAAATTAGATATGATATCGGATCGGTTATCGGCCGATATCAATTAAATATATGGAATATCGGATCGGATCGGCCTCCAAAAAGTGGTATCGGTACACCCCTAATAATAATGATAGCATAGAAAATGGTGGTCTTGATATTGGAATTGGGTTAACCCTAGGAAAAGTAGATAAGTTTTGCTATTTGGGTGATATGCTAAATGCAGATGGTGGTGTAGATTCTGTCATGTTGCAAGGGTCAGACAAGTACGGGAGAAGTTCAAAGAGATGTCGTCTATTCTAACAAATAAAAACATTTCTCCGAAGTTAAAATGAAAAGTTTACGTGAGCTGTGTGAGGAGTTGCTTAGTTAATGGCGACGAAACATGGGCAACAAAGCCAAATTGGAAAGAACAGAGATGAGGATAATTAAATGGATGTGAGGGTATCTCTGAGTGAGAGAAAATCTAGCAAGGAATTGCGAGCAAGATTGGGTATAGAAATGATTGGAGTGGTAGCGACGAAATAGACTTAGATGGTTTGGGCATGTGGAACGTATGACAAAAGATGACTGAGTAAAGAGATGCACCTTGATGGAAGTAGAAGAAGAGAAGGCGCAAGATGACGTGGGCAAATGTGATAGCGTAGGATATGAGAAGCATGAATCTTACAAATATTGATGCTCAGGACTGTCAAAAAGAAAAATCAGAGGGAAAACTGGACTACCTGGGAAACCTGGAAATCGCCATAAAACGGAGAAGTCAGTCCGTGTAGGCAAACTTTTTAAAAAATAGGCTCCATTAATTTTATTGGCCCTCTCAGCATCTATACAGTTCTTAAATAATGAAATATGGTCTCCCTCCGATAACTTTGTTATTATGGTGATAAAGTATTTTTTTAATATAATACCCCTTAGTAAAAAAAAATGTATAGTGGCCTTAAAAACACAAATGATGATGAGAAACAAAATACTAACAGTGGATATGTTAACAAAAACTAACCATTTTATCATAGGTTAGGAAGTTATATAATAAACTAAAGAAATTAATGCAATTATTTTATAAAATTTAATCACATTGACAGTTTATGGCAAAATAAAATATTTAAATGTTAATACTTAAATAATTTTTCCGTGATTTCGGTTTTAATCAAATTTTGGCAATGTGTCAAAAGGCCGGGGGAAGTGATATGGATTCCGTGTAGGTTATTAGATTCCGTATTATTGTTTTCTTGCGATTCTAAATCGTTCAAAGTATCTAAATTATCTAAACCATCGTTTAGTAGGTGAATGCTTTTTGGCGCGGTTTTAAAGGCCCCTAATTTATTCAGCGTAGATTCTTGTTGCATGTAATCGTAAACGGACATTATATACAAAGCAACTATGATCTTTAAAAGGGATAAATGCAAGTTTAGTTTTTTTACCAAGTATACCTTTAAAATTACAGTTCAATTTTTTAAAAATTTTTATATTTACTTTATTAATCTTTTTCGCAACAAAAATGCTTAGAACTATCTGATCATTTAATATCTTTTTAAAAAAATAATTAATTGCTAAAGAAATAAATTTATAAATCAAAAAAAATTGGGAATAAATTTTTTTTAGTGAAAATAAATTTTGTTATAATTATTTCTTTCTGTATATTTTTTAAAGTGACTAACGTTAAAATAATATTGGCAATTAGGATTAGTGACTAAATAGCGCGCCAAATTCCAATTCATGACCACTTTTTGATCGTCGTGCGAATTCTTCCCTGCGTCATTGTCAAATATTAAGGGTTTTATGAAAGATTCGCTAAATATTTCGCGTTTAAAATCGGTAAAAATCTCCGGTGACATTTTGGTCTGTTAGATAATTTAAACAAAAAATGTTTTTTTAACTTTTAATAATTGAAATTCAAAAAAATTAAAAAGAAAATAACAAATTATTCAAGCAGTTTTTTAAAAATAAAAATTTTACAAAATTATTAATTACTTTGTATAGAATTTAATTTAAATAGAGCTTAACAATCGTTTCGTTGCTTGATTTTGAGACGTATTTATGTTCAAAATAAGAAAGAAAATCTACTTTTAAATTTCAATCATTATTCATACTAAATTCATCTTATTTGAGAGAAAACTTGGCATAGAGCATTAAAAAATAATTCTTACATCCTCAAAATGGAAATGATGTGAAACCAAGATAATCAATCATTAAACATAAATAGATTATCATTTTTAAAGATTAATTATATATTTTTAACATTATAAGTAACGTAATTTTCAGAAAACTGCGGACAGGATTGGGCAAATTTTCAAAAAAAGGTACTCGAATATAAATATAAATATGTTTAAAAAAAGTATTTTAAATATAAATACAATTATCAGCGTGCAAAAATCCTAATTTCATGGCAAAACTTTTTAGAAAAAGTTTCGGGTTCTAAAAAATTTGGGGTAAGTCGGGCTTGAAAAATTAGGTCCGATGCAGATTACTAATTTATATTATATTATACATTATAACTGGGGATTAATTTTTGTTAAATATGAGAGAGAAAATCATAGCTCTGTTAGTATAAATATTTATTTTTAAAAATGCATTCTTTAAAATATTTACATTCAAATACTTTTTTTGAAAATTTTTTGTATTTCTTTTAAAAAAAAAATTTTTTTTCGAAATGTACTTATTCGAGTACATTTTTTTGAGAATTTGTCCAACCCTGGTTTTAATAATATTGTTTGATTTTTCTCTTTTTTTAAAAAGGAATATATTTTTGCTTAAAGAAATTAAGAGAAAAAAATCTAATTACCTTAATTCCGCCATAATCGCTGGGCCCCAACCACATTAAAACGTCCCAAGCACATTCGATTTTTAGATTCAGGCCATGGAATAATATATGGTCCCTTAAGACTTTCAAAAGATAGGCAATATAGGAGAAAGCTTTGCTTAATTTATGCCTTTTGCTGCATATTATCATTCTGTTGTAATTAGCGTAGACAATGCTGGCCCCCAACTTTTTTAGTTCCCTTGTGAGCTTTAATATTAAATTGATTATAATATATCTATCAAACATATAAAACAGTACATATACTAGAGATCTGCAAAAGTAAGCCCGACCCGTACCCGGCCCGAACGGGCTTCGGGCCTAATTTTTTAAAGAGAAACCGGGTTTATCTGGGCCAAGCCTAATAATTTTTAAAGAATTCGGGTCGGGTGGGGCTTTGGAAATTTTTTTACTAATATATACTGTTTATATAAAATAATAATAAAATTAAAACCGATAAAAATAGTTTTTTGATAAAGAGCTGCAGGGCTTTTTTGATGGAAGGGTCATAAAGCAATGATTTAGGAGATCTCAGCCATCTATAAAAATGAAGCAATTGATTACGGGCATAAAGATTGTCGTCTCGGGCTGCGTCTTTTACCCAAGATTGTATAACGCACCGTAATAATCTTAAATATATTTTTTTAAACATGATTTTGTCAAAAACAAGTAAGAATAAGGCACAAATATTTGTTTTGAATGTAAGAAACAAACACACTACAAAGAAAAGATCATACCAAAGATTAGAAGGTGACAAATTGGTCGCTTAAAATTATCATAGAAACCTAACTCGACTTTTTGGTAAAATAAAAACCTAAATGATTCAGAGTTGCTGGTCATGTCGTCATGGCACCAAGTATTACTACCCAGATTTCTTTCATTCGCAAATCCCGAATATCCGGCTGCCTCAACGAAAGTGGTATCATTAAATGTATCATTCTTGCACGGTGAGTTATTCAAGCGTCTGTCGAGGGTAGAATAATCCTTATTGAAATCGTCGATGATGGCGGATAGATTTTGACTCTTTAAGTTCTTGAGCTCAACGGAATCCTTGAAATTATTCTTTCTCAGCGTGATAGTCATGTTATTTTTATTATTATTGATATAGGAGGTCGAAAAACTAAGAGCAGGCGCCACGCCTTCATTTTCCAAAATCCTATGATAGGATAGGAGCGAGTTGGTTGGTAATCCGGATATTTGTATTTCGAGACAAATACTATTATAAAAACCGGGATTGTTGATGACGTAATCAGCTCCATTTGTGTCATCAATATCAGTTTCAAAGGAGTCGTCACATAGATTGCTAAATTTTTTTTAGTTAATATAGATAGGAGCTTCAGTAATTGATTTAGAATCATTTAAGTTATTTTTTGAAATAAATTAAATTAAAAAATTATTACAAATTAAAAAAAACAAATGTTTTTAATTTCCAAGCCCTAAAACAGGAAATCTCTAGTATTGAAAAATTAAAATTGTTTGTCCAACATTAGTGGGCTAGATTAATATAAAGAAATTATGACAAACTTAATATAAAATGGACACGTTTTGCCACATCAAATAGAATACAGTTATAACAATATCATATATAATTTATTTATTTATTTTTAAACTAATTATCGTCGTTTTCTTTGCCACCTAAATCGGGTTTATCATTAAGTGAGGCCCATAGTACACATCCATTATTGGTTAAGCGCCTGGAATAATTAACATCAGCTCCTAACAAAGGTAAATCTTGGCTTAGATTACCTAAGGGTATCTCTAAATATCTTGATTCCTCTAAAAGAGCCTTTTTTTTGTTGGTTTAGTTTATTAGGTGAGGATAGTTTATAAATTAAGCTATACAGGTATATTATTATTTAATTTTTTATTATTATTAGATTGATAAATTTAAAATTGGGAATACTTCCAAGCTTTGTTCAAAATAAACAAAAAAGTAATAAAAATTACATCTAATAATCTAGATGAGTCCAAGTAATGTCTAATCATCTTAACTAAAGCAGTTTTATGCCAATCTTGCGATGAGCTAGACTTTTTATAATCATCGTTGTTCCTGCAGTCTTCCCCTTCCATCATGTTATCATTGTCAAAGTCTCCTCCAGCTATCAAGGATGGCAGTATCCTGATGCAAGGCATATAACTTAAACTAATTTCTTTTAAGAAAGTTTGGACTTGATCCTTGTCAGAATGGTTTGAAGAAGTACTGTAAAGATCTATCGTTTCTTCCTGGAGAGATGGGATGGTGTGATAAGCTAAGATAGTATTTTCAGGTATTGTCTTATTGTTGTCAGACTTAAGTTCGTCAATAGCTTGACTATGTTGCTTGATGAGGTGTTTTAAAGACCGCTTTATGGCCTCTTTCGTGAGAATAAAAGAAGAAAAATTATGAGAAGAAATAAGGGATTTTGGGTCGTTGGGATTGATGATCGTATTTTGGACAGTATTTTTAGAAATAATTTTAGGAGTTTTCTCGGATCCGTATACTTTGTTGATCTCAAAAACGTGGTCTGGATAGGGTAACATGTACTCGATGTTAGTGGTCGGTTGTTTTTTATTTCCTGCGCCATCTATACTCTGATTACTGAGGTTAGTATCATCGCGAGAATCAAAATACTCTTTTATCGCGTTAAGCTTGATCTGGCATGCATAAAGGAAGATGAAGTATTGAAAAGGGTATTTGAAATTATTTGTTTTTTTTATCTCAATTTTTGGTGATTTTTTAAAATATAACAGAGTTTAAAAAATTAAGTTATCTCAGATAAATTCCAAAAATTGTGTAACAATATAAGAAAAAGAAATAAAGTGCTTTAACTTTCATAATTCAGATTTAATTAACCTCTCTTTCGTTTTGATAAATCGATTCGGCTTGGGCATTCGTAATCCAAATTTTGGAAACGTTTTTAGATTTGTTATCAATGCTAGTGTCGTAAAAATAAACGTACGTTTTCTTTAGGGTAGGCAAACATAATGCCCAAATACCTTTTTTTTTGTTGAACGCGTTAAATATATTAAAATACTATAAATATATCTTTACTTGTTAGTATTTTTTTAGGATAAAAAAATACAAGTATTTGGTTAAAAATATAAATAGATTAATTATTCCATATCAAATTTTTTTGGTTGAAATTTGGTAATAAAATAGTATGTAAACGTATTTATTACCGTGGTCAGTAAATACCTCTCTTATTTGTCACAACACTATGATGATACAAATAGATGTATGTGACACTTCCGGGGGGTAAATATGCTCTTTTGGAACCATTGCTTTTTGAGGATTCATTGTTATTACGATTATGATGCTTGTCCAGATCTTCGCAACGTTTAAGTTGGTCGAGTTCGAATGAACCGAGAAAGTTATGAGTGTATATATTAGCAGGTGTTTTTCTATTTCCGGTAATATCTGAAGAAAATAGTGTTATTTTAATAATATAATTATATCAGTGAAGGATTTCGCTTAAATTAATATAAACATACTATAAACAATATCCAAATATAATTTGATAAGTTCAAGCAAAAAATTATAGTTGATGAAAAACTTTTTAAGTTGTTTTGTAGTCTGTGCTTGAAACTAATTTGCCACAAACAGCCCAACTCCACATACACCCTAAATAACAATGGGACTTGCGTTTCGTACACGCCTTCAATGTGAGGAGATGAGAGGTCTTTTTCTAGATTTTGCGAAAATTCCTAAATAAAAATGTTAAAACTAATATAGGTTGCGGCCTAGATGTTTTATTTTTAAAGGATTCTGTTCATCATTCTATATAGTTTATCCTATTCAGAATTTTAAAAAAATTAAAATAACAGTTAAAAAGCAGCATAACAAATATAATTATTAACAATAATCATTCATTGGGTATTTTAATAATTCTCATTTATATATTTTCAATTTAGATATAAAAAAATGCGGCCAGGCAATATTTTTTTTTTGGCTACCTATAGGGTTTTCCTATTAAAGAAACTTGATCTAAATATAAAAGTAGCTGATAAATATTATTATAGCCTAATCTTAAATTATTTTGAACTAAATTAAAAAAAATATAAATATAATACTAAATTTTACGAAATTTTACGAAATTTATTAAAATAAAACAACTGTTGAATATTATATTAACCCTATCCAATATAAAATGCGGGTTCAAATATTATTTTAGCTTGTCTCAATTCAACTTAATTCCAAATAGATCGTTTGCTATTCTTTAAAAAAATGATATTTATATTAGAGGTCTGCAAAGTGAAGGGTTTTAGTCAAGAAGTTTGCCCACTCGTTAAAAATATTTTTAACCAGCCCGACCACTCATGGTTTTTTAATAAATTTACCTTATCGATTACCCGCCCATTTATTTAAAAACTTTATTTAAACCCCGTCCATTTTAAAAAAATATTTTAATAATTGGTTTGGCTCTTTATTTATTACAATGTATTTATAATATAACTTATAAAATATGCAATATTATGATAAAAAAATGATTTTAAATAAATAGAGTATGTTTTGCTCATTTCACCGATAAAATATTTAAAATTCACCTGCTTATAGTTTTAAAAATATTTATTCACCCGCCTGCCAACTACCCAATGTTTAAAATGTTATAGAAAGCTCGCTCATGCCCGAGATCTCTAATTTATATCTCAATTTTTAAAATCGAGTATTTTATTAAGATTTAGTTACAAAAATTAAGAAAAAAAAAACAGACGAACTATGACGCAATTAAAATTAACTAAAAAGGTGACCTGTTTGATTTTTTGAATAGAATGGTGAATACAGAAATAAGTTGCAAAAATAAGGAAAAGTAAGGCTGCAGCTTTAGTGTTTAAAAAATTAAAATATCCTATAAAAATATGTGAGTATAGCTCTGCACGAACCGATCCAAATGTTTGGTCGGGCGGAACTGGGAAAAATTATCTTGAACTCGGACCTCGGTCTTAAAGTTATTTCGGACGATTCAGGAAAATTTTAAATTATTTTGTTTTCCTAATATTTTTTATGAATATGATTTTTAATAACATATATATTTAATTTAAATCATTATCCTTAGAATATTTTGGCTTTAATAACGTGCTTCTTATCAACCAAAATTTTGAAAAGGATCATTGTAAAAAAATATTCGGATTGGATCAGGATCTGGTCGAAGCAGAAAAAATAGGTCAGACGTAGGACTATAATATAACAAAGTATTTTAAATAACTTGATATATATTTTCGGGTATTCGATATTTGTACACAAAATGGGAAGTTTGATTTTTGGGCAATATCCGAGAGACCTTTTCCCAAAAATTGGCGTTTTGATTATTATAATTATTTTTATTCGTGCATTCATTCGATTTTGGGATGTATTGATTAACGTAAAATATGCGAGGCACTACTAGTTTTAGGCATGTTAAATCTTTGTCTATTATAGCCCATACTTTAAATATTCCTGGTTCATTAGGCATTTCCATAACCTACAAAATTATTTTTATATAAATGATATATATTCATTATAAACGTCTATTATACTCTGATGATCAATTATATTATGTTTATAAATTATTTCATAGATAGATCGGCAGGTGAAAAATAAATAATGGTTTCCTTCAAGGCGCTATATCTAATTAGATAATATATATGTTCCATTTTTCAAATCCAACAAATGGGGAGTCAAAATTTTGCTTTATGTGAATCTTGATTTTAAAATTTATCTGAGGAGTTTAACCAACATATAACGAAGACTTCGTTTAACCTTAATGAAGATATTGTAATTAGATTTGTAAATCTTAACTCCATATCAAAATCATAAAACCTACATCTACAATTTTTATTTTTTTTCATCTTATCAATTAGCAAACACTTTAAAACATATTGATAAAATGTCATTTTGTGAGTGACAAAAAATTAAAAATGGAAAGAAGATAATGATTATAAATTATCTTCTTTATATATATATTATCACCTATATGAAATGATATATAGTGATCATTTATGGGAATAATGTGCAAAATAATGGTCAGTGGAAAAGCATTTGCCAAATTTGAAATGTGGTAATCGTAATCAATTATAAGGCAGTTATGAAAGGTAGGGAGGGGGAGGGGGAGGGTGAGAGGGGGTCGATTTATATAATAGTCGAACTCTATAGCGTGAGCATAAAGTGATTCGATATTATTATACGTACATCTATTTTTATTATAAGACTCGTGTGTAGTCAACTAATGGCACATAAAACAAATAATAATAAATATATGCTGGTACTTGATGTTAGACGGTAAATAAAATATTAGGAAGATGGGTAGACCGTGGTCAGAAATTTTTAAAAAAAAGGTAGGAAGACAGGTAATATTCCGCCTATTTCAGATATGTGTTAGAAGCACTGGCTACAGGCTGTTATGAGTATAATCAAAGATTACTAAAAGATCCCATGCACCATTGTTTCATTCTGTCTAAAATAATAACAGAAACTGTTATTTATCCTTTCATTTTTAAAAAATATCAGTTTTGATTATATTATTGCACCAGTAATTCCATATGGATGCATAATTTTGTATAACATACATTGAATTAGAAAGTATTAAAGAGTTATTTGTGTCAATCTTAAGTAACTGTTAGAAAAAAAATTTTTTATTCATAGAAAAATTGTCGGGGATGAAAAGGGTTTTAAAAAAAATATTTATTTGCACAGGACGTGTATATCTCAAGGATATTTCTGAAAATATAATATGTAATTCTAAATATTAAAATTATCGACCATATTACTATATAAAATAAATATTACCTGTATTACATGCCAAGGGTAATTGTAAATTCTATTATTGTTTTTCTGAGTTAGATTATGGAACGGATTTTGTTTAGAAAGTTTATTAGATAAATGGTGAGGAGAATTTGTAGGATTGTGCTCCCGCTTACGGAATTCTAATTGAATTCGCCATTTGGATTTATGGTAATTTAGCCAGGATGTGAAATTACCCTTTTTTTTAAAAAAAAGAAGGATTAAAAGATTTTATTAAAATATATCAAAATTTCAAAAGTAAATTTTTATAATCTATTATTTTATTTGCTTCCCATACAAAGAAGAAAGACCGTTTTCCTTAATGAAAGTCTTTCATTCGTTCGTTTCTACTTTCTTTCTCATTGAGCAATGAAGCATAGGTTAAAAAAATGAGGATCCTACAATTCTATAAATTGATTTTCCCCTTTTAAAAGATCTTATCAAGAAAAAGCTTATAATGGTGACCTACAACAGTGTCCAACTCTATAAAAACGAATGATCAATTTATGGGGCGGGGCGTGTATAACAACTTAATATACCATTTATTTAAAGTTTAAAATTTATCAAACATTAAATAATAATAAATTTAAATATTCTACTTGATTATAATTTAAAACAGGCGAAACGCCTATAATCCCCTTCCAAAATTTATCACGTTTATAGAGCGGTTTAGAAGGTTTAATCTTTTTCTTAGATTTATCTATTGCAATTTCTTTAGGATTAATATTATTAATATTAGTTGTATCTAAATGTGTGTCGAAATCTGGATTGTTATTATTACTATCGGTTATGTCTAAATGGGCGTCGTTATTTTTATTATAATCATTAATATTATTAATGACTTGACGTTTAGTTAGACTCCCAATGTCCTCAATATCTACTATTTCTATCTCACCCGACACATTTGCCCGTTTACGATTTAAAGGCAAAAATAATTCTGGGTTTTGACTATTAGAACTGTTTTGGGGAGAAAACATGTCGCTAATCTTCTTCTGTTTAAATACATCGTTGAAGCTAACCAATTTTTTGTGTAGCCACTCTGGATGGGGTACTCTTGGAACAGGATTTTTGATCTAATTTTTGATTTTAAAATAGAAATTATAATGTTTAAATTAATTATAGAAAAAAATAATAAAGAGTTGCTATTATTTCATATAAATTCAAAACTTAAGCGGAGGGGCGGGGGGATTTGAATTGGGTGAAATATCTTGATAATTTAACAATAAAAATTCATATCAATCACTAACCTTACCAGTTTTTATTTATAAGTAAAACTTCAATAAGAATTTAATAAATTAATTTCAAATAATATTTTTTTTGTCATTCTATCTTTCTTACCTACAATTATTTATTATTTTCAACCGTGTATCGCTAATTATGAAGTTATGAAGAATCAGGTTTTAAAAAAACAGAAATATTATTAAACATATTGCATAGCGGCGGGAATGGTAATGATTTTTTGTATGGCGCTTGATATCCTCTCTATGTAATAGTCCCAATCCACGATATCCTTTATATCGATTCCCCCATTTTCATTTTGAACGAGTTGAGAAACTTTGAGCCATTTCTTAAGGTAATGCCTCTTAATTTTTTCGTCGGCTTGGAATATAACGTAAGGAATGGCTCTTTCGCTCAAAGGGGAGCTATCCGGTTTTTTGGCTATGATGTAACAACAATTTAGACCTTTATCTTTTATCATTTGGTCACCTAAGAACTAATATATTTTGTTGATGGGGGGGAGAGGGCGTTTATAATTTAATAAAGTATATAAACATCCGTCCATAACAATCTATTAAAACTAGGATCAATCATTATCATTCAAACAACTAATAAATTTTCTCAAATTAAATTAAGGCACACGAACACTCTTTTGCCTCATTCCATTAGCGATGCGATTTTTATATAAAATAATGTATACAAACATTTTTGAAAATTAAGAGAAGCAAATAATTCATTTTATAAGAATTAATTGTCAAAACCTCTGCCAATCTCTTAGCAGTGCTAATGGAAGTTGATTTCTTAGCTCCATACTCGTCCAATTTTTTAGACATGTTTTTGTTTTCGGCTATCAGGTCAAATATTTCTTCATCCGACATATCAGCTCCCTAGTTTAAAAAAAAATCATAATATTTATATGACATTTATTAAAAATAAAAGTAATATATACTTTGCTATATAAAAAATCGAGCCAATAATCTGCTACGTTGGCCAGCGATCGATATATTTCCTCTAGGGTGTTGCCTTTAAGTGCTGCTTCGAAAACGGAATTTTGAAATATTTTTAAGAAGGGTAGTTCACCTCTTCTTTTGACCTCAAACCCTTTCATCTCAGCTAAACTTTTATCCATATTGAATACGGCATACCTTTATTTTTTAAAAATAAATTTTGACAATATATTAGGCTTATTTTATGTGTACTCAATCACAATTCCCCAGATCCATTGAGAAATCAAATTAGTATAAAATTTAGCATCCTAACTCTTATATTTTCAAGATATCAAGGACCAATATATGAAAAATGACCTGATTTTAGGCTTATCGATTGTAATTTAATTAAAGACTTACTATAAAACTACTGAATATTAAATAACGTCAATATCCAATTAAAGTGAATAATTAGCATTGAGATATGGAATTCATCGAGATATGGAATTCATTAGGAATTGAAATTTCTCCAACTTAAATCATTTTCTGAGAGCCATTTTTAAATCTGAAAAATCATGTATAGTGTACACACACTGAGAATTTCATACAATTTTGCTTAGAGCTGTTTAAATATTTTTAATTTATATCCTTTTTTATATAGATTTATTTTTCAAATAAATTTTTAAAAAAATAAAGGTTTATGGCAAAATTGTCTGAAAATTATAGAGTAGGTAGTCTAGATATATTGGAATAAATTTCCGCGAAATAAGATTTTTCAAATTTAAAAATTGCCTTTACTAATTGACATAAAATTGAGATTCCAAACCGATGGATTCCCTTTCTCAAAACGACATTTATTTATTTTTTTAATATGACGGCCAATTTAATCTAATTCTAAAGTACAGTTCTTGCATGCAATAAGTTTCCCCTATTTTTATAAAAAATTTTAGCAAATGTCACTATTACCAATTTATATCTGTATAAAAGAAAATCGATAAAAACCGTAAAGAACATCGGTTTATTTCAGATAAACATAACGGTTGATGGTTCAGGTTCGGTTAGTAAAAAATTCTATTATTGGTTGGGATGAATCTAAATCCGGCTCAGATCTTTTCGCATACAAGAGTATTAGAATTGTTAAAAAAAAGAAAATTTTTTAAATTTTATCACTATTGTCTAAAACAAATATTGAACAGTATTCAGTAAAATATTTTCAATAGTTTCTTCTGTCAAATTATATCAATAAGGAAGAATAAATTTTAGGGCTAAGAACACTTCTAAATGCTAGCTTGAATAGTTACACTACCAAATAGAGAGATCTAGATGATTTTAATAACATTTTGTTATTTCATTTTTGAGTAATTTATATTAAAATAGAAAAATCATAAACCAATCATTTAAAAAGCAAGTTTTGAATAATTATTAAAATTAGTGATTTACCTTTTTTTCAGTTTTTTCCCTTCTTCCTTAGATGATGGCAGAATCATGGCATGGTAAGGCCCATCGACCTCAAAAAATATCGAATTTTCATCTCTTTTTTGATATACAAAGTTTTTATCGTCAACTAACACTTGATACTGACGGTTAGTAAATTTTTCCTAATAAAAAAAAGTTAGATTAAAATCTGTAAGAATCAAATATATAATATATATGTTATATTATTTTCATAAGTTCTGGGCATTTTATAAAAAATTAAAGAGCAAGAAAATTTACTTGAATACTGGGAGAGATCTATTATATATTATTTATAATCATTTAGTGAGTTACTTGCTAAAAAGTATTTTTGTATTATTAAAATAGCAAGACTTTGCTTTAAAAATAGATTCTCAAGTTTGATCCATCTTTTCATGAATCCGTTTCTAAGCCTAGCTACTAAAAAAGTTTAGAGTAGAGCAAGCAATAGGTATGAATGAGTGTGAAGGATAAATAAAAGTTTATTTTGTGATTTTCCGAAATTATGTTTGCGCGAGGGTATGAACGTTATGATTGGAAGGGACAGATCAGTGCAGGTGGCCAAACTAGAAGTTGGCAAATTCCAAAAGGAATTGAAAACATTTCGTCTGGAAGTTCCCCATTGGTTATAAAGATGCCGGTTTGTTCGAGTCTAGAAGAGATGCCCGCCCTTTTAAGTACTCGCAAAATAAAGCAATTGCAATTGGTGATCCGTGGGAATCGACCTCGACAATTTTAAAATTGCCTTTGATGTCAATGCTGATTTCAAAATGTTTGCAAAGGTAAGGCATTAACAATTTCGAAACTAACCTGTAGACTAATTTAAAATCTTAGCTAATATAAGGAGAAGATTAAGTGGGAGTTTTCTGAGGGTATGATTTCCAGAAATTCGCAATTTGATCTTTGGTTCATAAAAACACCTAAAATCATCATTTTGGCTCAATTTTAGGTAAGCGAAAGAGCCCTCGAAGAAAAATCCGTCTTTTTGCAAACCTCGAGTTTCAACTGAACAGAGGGAGGACATTTGCCTCAATATATATTTGAAGGGGGTAGGGAAGTTTAAAATATTTGGGGGAGGGAGGTAAATCTCAGGCGTGTTGCTTCCAATAACACGATGAAGAATGTTTGAAAAACGGAATTTCCTGTATGGACTGATTTATGGTTAAAATGGAGATTAAGGTTCTTTTCGGCGTGAATCTTGATAGAGATTTTAAATGAATTAGTCGAAAAATTATTAGATTAAAGTGGTTCGAAAAGGGTAATTTTAGGAATATAGCAAACGTTTTTACGAAAGAAAAAACTTGATGAGATGTTTAGAAATGTTTTTAAATTGAAATAAGAAAGATAGTATTAAAGAAAGGGTTATTGGTGGAAAACTAAAGCGGAGAATAGAATAGGAAATGTTAGAGAAGTCAATTTTGACGATGATTTGGAGATGGGTCACCATGTGTGGTTGGCAACTTCCATTTATTCCTATCATGAGTTGATTAAAGGGTTGCTGCTGAGTTATTAATCTTTGAAAATATAATTTTTGCGAATAGGAAGGAAAATACGGTACCGAGTGTGATAGGTAGAACGTTTTTTTATGCACATTGGTTATGGATTGGATTGCTTCTTCAAGTAAGGCTAAGGTTTAATTAATTAGAGTGTTTGAGTTATCAAGTGTTTCAAATATTTATTTAAAATAATATGGTAACGCTTATAAGCATTCCAATTAGGCCCTAGAATAAGAATTATATCCTGTCCTCTATCCTTATCGTTGTTATAATCGTAACTCATATAAAATGATTGATTTTCGGTATTTTTATTCCGACTCATGGCCAGTTCCAAACATGGCAGACTAAAACGACTCTAGTTAACATCGGTGAACTACTAAACCTTACAATAATCTAACCATCATGTTTCGCAACACAAGCACAAATTCGAAAGAAAAAACTTAGTTGATAATCACCATGGATGAATCACCATGGATGAATCACCATGGATGAATCACCATGGATGAATCCAAGACCAAAAATGATGATAGGATGTTTAATTAAATAATAGAATCTAACGAAAAATACAAATTTTTTAAATATGGAATGAATATCTATATCAACTCAAGCCTGCTAAAAAACGCTGCTGCTAGGGGTTTTACCTCCAACCCCCCCCCCCCCCTTCATCCATTCCGCAGTGGTTAGCTAATATTACAAATGTATAGTTGACACAGAAAAGAAATAATTAGCACAATAATTAGATTACCATATAAATTTGATTATTATCTGATAATTCAAACATTTGGATTTTTCGATTAGATCACTCCAATATTGAAGCACTGATATATAATTTAATTTTAAAAAATAAGCATTTACATAACCACAAAAACAATGTAATTAATATTATAGAGCAAAATGTTACTTAACTTGAACCATTAAATTCAACAAAGCGCCAACAAAAGACACAATAATTTTGGGCTTCTTGGCGTTTAAAGTTGTGAATGTAAAATTTTCGGGAAATGAAGATGGCAAAGCACACCATATTCCATCTGTGTCTAACTCCAGTGGTCTTCCTTTATTTAAAAAATTAGATTCATCCGGTTAAACTTAGTATTTTTAAATTAGGCCTAGTTTTTATTGCACTTATTTAAAAGATAACAATACCTATTTTTTCGACAACGCTTCTGGCTTCTTTGATTATGAGAGAACCGATGAGACAAACTATCCCTGCCATCTCCATACTAAACCATCTAGCCCCTTTTCTCATTACGTATCCATAAAACGAATTCAAAATACATTTGTGAGCAAGCTGAAGAGAGTCGTATAGGATTTTTTTGTTTTCTAGATCTTTCAGATTTTCGTTAGCGTTGTTGACATTATCAGGGTCAACAGTAAGGTAAATTTGATTTTGGTTAGATTTAAGGGCCGCTATTTTTTTGTTGCAGAATTTTACCATATTTTTGAAATCATATCGCCTGTCCCTAAAAGCTCTGTTGACCAAAAAAATTGATTACACCTTCAATGCAATGTTATTAAATATACAATAACTTACTCAATATAATGTAAACTTATTGGCAGGTAATTTTATTTTTTGCAATATATGAATATTTTCAGTTATGGCCAAAAATAGACCAGGAGAGGGCAAAGGTATAGAGGTCGATATGGTAACGCCCGAATCGAGGACAAAAAAGACTGAATTTTATATTAAATAGGCAAATTATATTATAATTATAGAGTTATATACTTTATAATAAATGAATATGGTAAATTAGTAAATTAAATATGGCCCAAAGCTTTTTATAATCAGCTATTCATTAGTGAATTTTATTGTATTTCCTTTATATTTTAGAAGTTTTTTAACGGATATAAAAGAGAATAATCTTATTTCTATATTATATAATATTTATAATATAATAAATCATTTCCATTAGAGTCTAAGATATTTCTAGCAAAGATATTTTAATTAATTATATACTATATTTATTAATAATATAGCTGCTTATTATATTCATTTCAACTATTTGGTATAATAAAATGTTTAAAAATTTGCGTTAAGATGAGTCGAATCCTAAAATTTGAATTAAAAGGTGTCCGCCTAAAGTTTGCGCTTGGATATATTCGGTTTTGCTTCCCGTTCACCCCAAAAAATCAGTCTAAAAGAAGGTTCATCATTCAGGATAAGTCCCAAGAAAAAAAAGACCGGACATTCTCTATTCCTTTAATATATATTCTAATTTTAATAAAATATATCAAAATATTTAAAAACCTTTTTAAATTATCTGATTTAAACTAATTCACTTTTTAAATAATCTGGGCATTTTTGTTATGTAATATAATTCGGTTCGCATCTTATGATATTTTTTTTTTAATTTATTAGCAAGAAATAAAATATCAATAGCCAAATAAGTATAATAAATAATTGCAATTTATTTTATAAATTATATAAACCGAATTGTGTCTATGTAAAATGAATTCTCCCTTTGACATGTAACCGAAGTTTTTTCTTCTTCCCTCGTTATCTTCAGTTTTTTATATACCTTTCTGCTATATTCTTTTTTTAAAATATATATGAATAAGTTTTTATATTCATTTATATTGGTTTTAAAAAATGTATCGTATTAGTTTGAGCAAAACCAATATATTCTGATGATTTAATGGTTTCATAAACCAGGAATATATTGGCATTGGTCTCACCCTTGGTTAGAACCCTACATAATCTAAGCAAAGATTTATAAATTACTATTTTACAAAAATACCTTTCAATCGTTGCTTTTCGATTGTCATCCTCTGCTCCTTAGGTAACTCGTGGAAAGGTTTGCGAATGTTAGAGCTACCAGTAAATTTATTGTCATAAAGTTTACTTCCGTTAGGATTATCATTCACTTTACAGAAAAAAAGAGATGTATAAAAGTAAAAATCAATTGTAACATAAATAAATTACAAATTAATATGGACTAGTAATTATTTTTAAAATATATAGATAATCAAAGAGTCTAAAATAATTAGAAGTAGAATCTATTCTTATATATTCTTCCAATAGAACTAAACTAATTATATGCGCCTATTATAAACAAGGTCTAAGACAAACACATTATAAACCACTTTTAATGTTTAAATTTAAGGTTATTGATGAAAATGTTATAAATAGTTATCATCTGTAATTCGTGATAAAATTTAAAAAATAGACCAATGTTCCATATCCATCAAAATAAAGTTTAAAAGAATAAATCACCATCTCAAATATTTATAAATATTCAGATTCCTATATTTTAAAATTTCAACAAAATATCGGCATTTTTAAGGTTTATTGGATTTTCTTAATTTGATTTCTCTTTCTTTTTATTACTTCCTTTACTCTCGTGTAAAGCCCAATTTTTTTCAATATGTAAGTAAGAGACCTAGTAAAATTTAAAAAAATATTTTCTTTATATAACCTCTAACAACTTTATCACTATTATTCGGATGGGCATCCTGTTTGGATACAAAAGTTTCGTTTTCGAGTTGAAGAGATATCCGCTGAGCCTCGGTTTTGTTGATTGGCATGTGCTCTCCTCTCCATTTCCAATTCAGAGGCCGCTGACAATCGGATCCAGCCACATTAAAGGTACATTTTGCGCAAGTCGTTTCGTTTACCACTGCATATGGCTTTTATAGTGGATAAAAAAATGAATTTAAAAGAATTAATTTAAACGTGAAAATGCACGAATTAGATTGGCTAATGTGGCAAACGCACATTATCGCGCTTTTATATTAATGGCAATTTATTTTTCAATCAAGTTTATACTAGTACCATTTTTTGTTTTAAAATTGATTTTTTTTAAAAATTTCATGTCCATTTTCTACCCTTTTTGTTAAATATCAAATTTTCCGTCAAAAAATTGCGGGTAAATCATAAAATAACCTTCAATTTGATAAATATTTTAGTTTTAATGCTTATCAAATCTAGAAGATTTAATCATTCTAAAAAAATTATCATTATTTGCAAAAAAATCTTTGTGGTTAAAGTCTTGAAGTAACTGTCCCAGTATATTTGTCTAGGTGTGTTATTAAATCACCTTATTTAGTCCAATTCTAATAAGGCTTAGCTAAGCTTTTTGTTTAAAATAATTGACTCAAACATCTAAGTTGAGCTTTCGTGGGATTGAGAATTTAGGATAAAAGGTTGGCTAAGCATTTTGAATTGGCTAAAAAATGGTGATTTAACAACTCTAATGTCTAGTTTCACCGGGCAAGAGGATTGATCCACCATTGTTAAAGAGTCGTATTATTTAGTGGAGTTTAGGGTCCTAGGTGGTTTATGGAGGCTATCTCAATATATTCATGATCTTTGATTTGACAATTTTATTACTTTATAATTTAACGAAAGTAATCCACTACTGTATTTTAATAAAAGAAATAATATTTTACTTTTTTTTAAGTTTATTTTTACCAAATAAATATGTCAGTAATATTCAATTTAATAAAATGTTTAACATCTTAATTTGCATAATAAAATGTATTTTAATTTTATTGTACAAAAAGTAAAATATTATAAATATAACTTTTAGATGATATTGTGTAAAACAAAATTAATATCGAAAGAGATAATTGAAACGATCAATTATTACCATGACTAAATTTTCGTTTAAACAATGATGAGGCCTAATCATTAATTTACAAATATATCCAAAAACTTTGCAAGATTTTTAAAAAAAAATTAGGTCATAAATTACAAAATGTTTAAATAATTAAAACATTAAATTTGATAAGTATTACAATAAGGTCGAAGACATATGTGAATAGTTGAAAGCATAATTATCTGTCACTTTTACCCGAATATCAAATTTGAATAATTATTTGACAATTTAATCGGCAAATAGTGTTGTTGAAAAAATTAAGCCGATTTTTAATATAGAAGGAAATCAAGATTTTAGTTAAAAATATATAAACCTAAGCCTCGATATTCGCATATCTCCGATCAAATCTCAAGTAATAGGTAATACTTTTTTTTAGCGAAAACCTTGATCAAAGGCTTTTGACAACAACTAAGCATAAATGTTATATTTATAATAAAATAAATTAAAAAATTCAAAGTGTTTTAAAAATAGGAATGTATTTTTTATTTTATTTGTGATTTTATAAAAAATAAATTTATAATTATACTTGTAAGCGATTAGTCAAAATGATATTAGGGTACATAGCCCCCACATCCAAATGATATATTTTTGGAGCCTCATTCAATGAATCCGTTTTAGATATGGTGTATAGTGTCGATGATATCTCGTCACATACCTATTATATTTATTTATAAAGCAATGATATTCATATATATCATTTTAATTAACAAATAGCCTTACTCATATTCACATATCCTCGAAGAAATTTTAAATTTTTCAAAAAAAGCGGGATAATGTACAAAAACACGAAAATATTTAAAAATTCTAAAAATTCCTGGGATCGAAATTAAACGATAAAAGAGGGAAAAAAGTTATAAGCCTTTAGTGGCAATGTAGGATATCATTTTAAACATCCCAGCAGGGATTATACAATTGTTATTTTAGGAATTAAAATAACCGGTTACAGAAAAAAAACGATTTTGTTTATTCGATATTTTTTGTTTTTATTTTTAAAAAAATTTCTTACTAAAAAATAATATGATCTACCAATATATAATTTTTTTTTAATTTTCATTATCACATTCATCTAAATCTACTAATATTTTGTAGCAACATTTTCATTATCGCAATCATTTTATAACCAAGTTTTTTGTGTTAATTTTAAAAAAAAAATTTTTAGGAAAATAACTTTTATTATTTTAGTATTTCAAAATTTCGTTTGCCCCGTTTTTAGATTTAAAAAAATTTTTTGTTTTTGCATTCCTAGTTATTTTATAAATTAAAACGTGAATATTTTGACAGTTTTTTTTAGTAACCTCTTATTTTATATTATAAGGTTTTAAGATACAAATATTTTTTTGAAAACTTGAAAACGTAATTGAACTCGCATAATTTTTAAAAACATGAGTTTGATAATTCATTTTTCTTACTAATGTCCATTAAATGTTAATTAAATATATTTATGAATGTTGCATGTTTTTTGGTGATTTTTCATGGTAAAAATATACTTATATATGGCATTTTTGCTCTTTTTTTAGACAAATTTTACAAAAACTCTTAATATTTTTTTACTTATCATTCAAATCTTCAAAATTTTTATTGTACAATTAAAATAAACGCCACACATCATTTGAGTTATCCCCCCTCCCCCACTTTACTACTAAAGGGTTAAAAATCTAAAGAGAATCTTAAATAGTCATATAAGCAGAGGTTCGAACTGAACCCAAACCCGGAAAAGAAAACCCGGGTTTTTGGGAAAAAATTTGAACCCAAACCGAACCTGAACTTCATTTATAAAATTTTCAAAACCCCGACCGAACCCGGGAATATTATTTAAACCCAGTTTCAACCAGGTTCAGTGTATTGTTTAAATTAATATAATTGTATAATTGTAAATACAAATATTATAATTTACTTGACATTTTTTAATATTTTCAAATTTCCAATTAAGTGAGGTATTAATAAATTTTAAACAACATAATTCATTTACTCCATTTTTAAATTTTTTTAAATTTATTCTCATAGATTTCTATTGGATTGTTAATAAATTTAACAATTAAATTCATTTACGCCATTTATTTTTAATTTTTAACTTATTCTCAAAGATTTTTAATTGGAGGAAAATGAAAGTGAACAAGTCAAAGTAAAAATTATTATATTGGATATTGTTAATTTAAAGAAATACGTCAAAATAAAATTTTTTAAATCTATACATGACTATGCTTTGTACTTTTAACTATATTTTGGATATAAATAAAATAAAAAATTTATTTTTTATACCAAATTTATGTCTAGTTTTTTTAGTTATGATTTAAATATAGAATTATTTTTTTTATTAATTCAAAAATTCTTAAACCTGGGTTCAAAAATATTTCCCTGAACCGAACTCGAACTGAACCCACCTATTTTTTTTAACCATAAACTGAACCCGAACAGAATCCGACAAATGTATAAGTGTTAATCTAGTATACTTCTTTAAAATTGATTATTTGAGTGATCGGAATCTCTTCTTCGTATTCGATCGTGTTTTTAATAATGTTTTCGACGTTATTTATCATATCTTTTATGTATTTTATATCCTTATTTGAATAAAGAAAATATTAATATTCGTAAAATGCATTAATAATAAAGAATATACTTTATCAGAAAATTATGGAGTGGACTTTTTGCTTATCATTAAACTCACCCAGTTCATGAAAATTTTCTCCCCGTCGAACTATCACTTCTAAAACTTATAAGTTACAGATTTAATAAAATAATAAATGGTTTCATTCTCACTTTTGATTACTTTTGGCAGCATGTATGCGAAATAGTTATTCCTTTCTCATTTTATTTAACTTACCATTTCCACCCTATTAACAAAATCAAGATTGTCTTCTCTAAAACTTCGGGGTTCTTCTTTTCTGCTGGGAACCGGTCATTTTTTGTTTTCCCTCTATTGATATCCAAGATGAGGATATTTCAATGTTGTATCATTATTTAGTATAATCATATCAAAATTACTAATAGCTTTTCGGAAGCAACCTTCCCCCCTATCACTAACATCTAATGCATTAGTGATATGATAATATATTATTTTTGGCTGTGAACCCGAAGAAGAAACAATTCATCAAAAATTTAATTACAACCTTATGTCTTTCGTGCAATGTCAGATAATTTTCTGTAATTTAGTTTTCCTGCCTCTATTTGCTACCATTTTAAACTAATCAATCGTTTATAAATTTCCGTTCTCCCATTAGTTGGCTGGATGCCATCACTAACGTCTTAGACCATGTTTCTTCTCATTCTTGTTTTCAGGAAACGCGTGAATATATTCCAACGATAAATACCTTTAGGCAATTGGCCTATTGATTAACTGTCAATCATTGTCCTTTCACTCTGTGAGGTGAGTGTCAATTGCAGATGTAGATATTGATTTGAATTCAGACTGCAGTGACCAATTTTTTGCCACATCTTCGCACTAAGCTCAGATCTTTAAGCTGTTAATATTCCATAAAAATTCTAGATACAACTCACTAGATCCTTCTTATTAATTTATCTCTATGTAGCCTAGATTTTTCCCATAATAAGGCCTTCTCTTATTCAATGTGTTAAAAAACGAATTTCTAAAAGACCAATCAGCTTAGAGAAATTTCTAGAGAAAGCTTTTGTCATAATGATTAGTATACATTATTATTTTTTCGCTCTTTGTGGCTACCTCTCTTTTTCGACATTTGTGTTTTACACTTTTATTTATCTATGCCATAAAAAAATTCTAAACCACAACCAAATCCATTTTTTTTTCTTTTTAATTATATAAAGTATATTAGAAATCTTAAAAAGTTTTAAAAATTAGTATCTTGCTACCGATCTATAGTAGTTTTAACGTTCAAAATAACTAATGAAAAACGATCAAGTAAATTACATAATTTTAAATGTAATAGGAAAAAAGAAGATATTTTATGAATATTTTTTTAAAACTATTTTGAAAGGGAGCAAGATATCGGAACGGAAAACGCCAGACTCGATGGCCTCAACGTGACCTCCAATGTAGGTTTCTTGTTCAATCAAAAACCCATCTTTTGTGTATTTGTATCGATTGTGATGCCTTTGAGTGTAATTCGTATTGAAATCGTTATCATTATTATTTCGATCTGATCCTTTTTTAGAACTCGCCATAAAATTTTTGTTGTTACTGTTGTTTAATGGGAAATCATAATCTAAGGAACCATAGTCGGAATGTTTGTTAGGGTAGATTATGTTTGCGTGATAGGCTTGAACCATGAGCAAGGTTTCGCAGAGTGTACCGGACCCTTTTCTCAGAACCTTCAACATATTAAACAGTTCTTTTTAAAGGTAGCTGTTTAGAAAGACTAATTTATATTTGGATGACTAATATCAGTATGAGATTTGTAAAATATACCTATTTTTATTAATTGTAGTGTACAATTCTCACTTTACAGGGGACCAATTATTTTTAAAAATATATTCTATTGCATAAAAAATTGCCCCAAAATAAAGTAAATTATATATAATATAAACATCGTCAGGATCCATTGGAACGATGGTACAGAGCGAGAAGATGAATGAATGTATGTACTTGATGTATAAATAATAAGTAGCTAAGGCGTCGGACACGGAATAAGAAGCTAATACTTGCGGGTTATCAATTGCCATGGTACACATCTTTTCAGGGTCTAATTCAGAGGGGTGGTAATCCAATTTGATCTAAATAAAAAAGACACTAATAAGTAAAAAGAATAAGGTATAAAATTGAATTAATTGCTTTATTTATGTTTATTTGAGAAAAGGAGGGGAGAGACAAAAGTGAATTTTCAACCCAGGTCAAAATCCTACCAAAACCTCTAAATAAGAACATATTAAAATAAAAAATTATCATAAATCGAGATATTTAGTCATTATCTCATCTTTTCAATAGATTATGATGACGAAGGAAAAAAAAATTTTTTTTTATATTTATCAATCATAAATGTAATATTTTATAAAACAAAGAAATGCTGAAGCTTTCCTCGCCAACAAAATATGTCACTTTTATTAGTTGCAATTAATTATATTACATTTTAACTATCGCATTGCATTATTCTTAATTTTTCAAAATCTATTCTAGGCAGATGGCGTTAATTTTAATGCTTTCTGGGAAATTTATGAGCATAATTCTCTAAACTCAAGAGTTCTAGTGTCAAAGAAGGCTAATTTAATCTACTAAATCTTTTCTAAAAGTTATTGTTTCTGGATATGTTAAGTATTTCGTCAGCGTAAGGAAGTTGTATCACTTTAATAGCTCGCATATGTAGCCTTAATATACTGATATGATTTTTTTTAAAGCAAAGATATTTGTAATCTGATAGCTTTTGTTTCTTCGTTCATAAAATGTAGTCGAGAAATAAAGCCTTCATAATGAGTTTATTGAAATTGCACGGCTTTTCAATAATATAATCATTGATAATTTTTTTTACATTCTTTTAAAGCACACCAGTTATAAAATTAGAAAATGGAATTCGCATATTTTAAAGCAAGGCTGAGAATCCTAACCCTCGAAATTTTACTGAATCTGAACCCTTTTTTTAAATTTTGGGTTTCGGGTTAAAGAATTGTTTTTATTGCCCATGGGATTAGTATCAGGTCTCTTCGTGTTGGTTGTGTCGAGACCGAGGCTAGAGAGCATGATATTTGGTATGATGTTAATTGTGCAATGTAGAGGTCTGTATTGGGCGAGCGGGTGTGGGATAAAAAAAATTTAAGAACGGGCGTGGGTGGGGGGGGGGGGGGGGTTATAAAAATTTTAACTATGGGCAGGTTAAGAAATTTAAACAATGGGCGGGCAGGTTAAAAGAAGTTTAAAATCATTTAAGTAAATATTAATAAAAAATTGTTTTTATGAACCTTTTTAGATATTAAAAATTAAAATGTCCTTTTTTGGTATCATAAATGGTTTTTTCTTAAAAATAAACTTTTTTATATACTTAAAACTACTTTGGTGAAACAGACAAGAAAAGGATATTCCAAAGCTATCAAGATTAGCAAGAAAAATTGCACTCGAGGATTTATTGCTGGAAGGTTTTTAGAAAAACGTATTTGAATCCAGAAAATGTTGATTCATTATTATTTTTGCATTATAATTACATATAATATCATATATTTGTATTTTTTTCATAAATATTTTATTTGATCAAAAAAATCATCCATAATTTAAATTGAATATTTTTTTATGCTTAATATAGTAATTTTCTAAATTATAAAACTTTTTGTAGAGGTATAATGCTGAATTTTTTTTTATTAGATGCTTAAAAAATTGAAAGAATGGCTATAATTAAATTTTATAATAGCGGGCTTGGATTAAAAATTTTTTATAAATAATGGATGGGCAAATTAAATATTTAGACTAATGTGCTGGCGGGTAAGAAATTTTAGACTAATGGGCGGGCGGGTATATTTTTTTTGAAAACTAAAGGTGGGGTGAGCAGGCGGGTTAAAAATTTTTAAAACATTGGGTGGAGGGGCTTTTGGTCCAAAAACTTGCCCAATGCAGACCTCTAGTGCAATGTCTTCGGTGTTCTCCCTTCAAGAATTTGCAGTTTAAATGGTGGCGTCCTTTGCTCGACCTGTGTGTTATACAGGTAGCATGTTTAGAAAGAGATTATGTTATATGGAGCCCGATAGATATTTTTAATTGCTCAGCATAAAGATGAAGACCGAGATTATTCAACCATTCATATCCACTATTCATATTGCTAATTTAAAATTGGTGACATACTCAGATTGTTGGTTTGAAAGGAAGAATTCGAAGTTCAGCCAGTTTAAAATCCCAATCCTTTAGACGAATCAGGGATGGGCGTGATGATAGCAAAGAGTTATTTAATTCCCAGATTTCGAGGTCGTGTGAGGGGTGTTGGTCGGTTGAGGAGACAGCTCGGTAGCTAAAGAGTTGGTTGAAAGCCTTGAGGATATGAAGGCTGCGATTGAAAGATGAGAGTAAATTCCAATAGATCGTTTTGGGATGGAGAGAAGCATGTAGCTAATATACAGTGTTGTGCAGATTTAATTCAAAACATTTCCATATTTTTTAATTCGTTTGTAAATAAAATTATTTAACTTGTAAAAATTATAAGAATATATAAATATGTTATTTTAACAATTTTTTGCAAGTCAAATAATTTTATTTTCAAATAAATTAATAAATAAGGAAATGTTTTGAATTAAATCTGCACTGTAGATAGGTAAGGGCGAGATGTCGGCTAATTCGACTCAATCTACAGGTGCATGCCAGAGAAAATCAGTTAACATTGAGGCGCTTTAATTTATAACTTTCAAATTTGTTTTTAAGGAAAACCAGGTCAAAGTGATAGTCTTGGGCCAAAAACTCGGTATAGCCGATTTTTTAGACAGCTAGAAATTGGCTTAAACGGCTAAAAACAAAGTAATTACCCAAGTTTAGTGGCCAGAAGAGAGGCAAAGAAGGAAAACAATACAATAAAACGTATGTTTTATTAGTTATCGCATTCTTACAGTTATAATAATAGATTGGTGATCATTTCGTGGCATCTTTATTTCTATCTTAGAAAATTATCATTAAATATTTATTTTTATTAAATATTTTGTAGCATTCATAGTTTTTTTTAATTTATATAAATATTAAATTATATTATTATATAGTAATCATAAGCTGGCTACTTGGAATCTTCTCATCATAATATATTTTAATTTAGTGGGTGCTTTTAGTTTTAGAAACCCTTTTTAATTTAAAATATTTTTCTCTCACAGAGGATAACCCTGCCCAATTTCTTAAAATTAATTATTATTATTTAAAACAAAAATAATTATGTCAAAATCATGACATTAATCATTTTAAACTTTAGCCACGGCCTTGAGTCCTTGGCTTCCAACAGGTAGATAACTATCACGTTTGACCCATCTGTTTTATGAAATGAAAAATTAATAAAATGTTAACTTAAAAACAAATATTGCAATTATATAAGACGGGGTTGGCCAAACCATTCGATCTTATTTAGACAATTAATTTTATTTTAGAGACAATCCCGACCAGCCAATTTTATTTTCAGGCAATTTCCATTTCATTTGATATTGACTTCGTTCAGTCAAATGAGACTGATAATCTAGATCAGTGAAAAAGGTATCTGATTAATTTCACCGAGGGGGGGTGGGGGGATATAAGACTAGGGATGTACCGATACCATACTAACAGATAGTATCCAAGTATATTGAAGTCAATCGCCAATGTAAAATTTGTAAAAAAAACAGAAAAAATATTGGCATAATAATTTGCCAAAAAATTACAAATATCAACTTCAAAAGATCTTTTAAAGATACTAATTTCAATAGTAATCTCGATTTGCTATTATTTAGTTAAGGCCCACACAGATACCCATTTAAATATCTGATCCAGTAAAAATAAAAGCACATTCTAGACTGACTTAGGTTTGTTTATAAATATTTATTGGCCTGTATTGGGCTCAGATATTGGGCATGGTCTGCACTCTGCAGATATCTTTTATTTGTTAATAAGAAAGAAAAATCAATATTAAATTAATATTACTTGAAGCAATCCATGTGTATGCAGGTGTTAGATATATAATTTTTCTGGGAATCCTCAAAAAACCCAATTTCCTCATACATATCTATTCCATAGGTTTGAGCCCGAGCTTTTATAAAAGGCCAATCAAAACCATCGCCATTGTACGTCACAAACACGTGGGGTTTGATATCCAATATGTGTTTAAAGAATCTCTTCAGAGTGGCTAACTGTTATTTTTTTCAAATATGCCAAATTAAATCCCCTTATAAAGTATTTAGATACAAAAGAGAATGTTATAAAATAATTACTATATAAATCAGAAACCTGCAGACCATGCCCAAAACGAGCCGAAAAATGTGATGTTTTTAAAAAGAACCTAGATTAAAATTTTAAAATCCGGACCAGTCCAATTTTTTGAAAATCAATTTAATTCTGTCAATTAATATCAATAATGAAGCGTTTAATATTCTGTCGATTTATTTTTAAAATAATTTGGAAAATACAGCCAAAGTTAGTCAAAATAACGAAATTTTAAAAATTCCAGGTTGAGTAGAGCCATAAAATCATCAAAAATAAACATAAGTGCTGGGTAAAAAAAAAGGTATAAGCTGCCTTTTGACCTCTCTAGGTCTCTGATATATATTGTGAATGCCGAAAAATTGGCATCCTATAAATTTGTCCATCGGCCCAAATAATTTCTATTTTTAAGCAAGACTAGAGCCCCGCAAGTAGTAATGGTCACGATTCAGTCCGGTTTTAAACCGATTTTCAATCGAACCAAATTCTAAAGAGCAAATAAAAGGGGAACCACATATAAGCAAGACTGCAACATAGTCCGGATCAAATTTATAAGTTTTGAATACCTATATAAAACAAAATATCATTATAAAAAATTAAAGAATTTAATATATTTGCAAATATAAGAATAATAAAATATGAACATTAATAAACATTATATTTTATTATAGAATAATAATATTATCATCAATCAGATTTGATTAATAGAAATTCCATTTTTAAGCCATGACCCAATATACATGTGAAAAGTTCATATATAAAAGACAAAAATATACAATTTGTAGTAAACTTTCTTCCTTTCAACAATATTTACAAGTTAAAATAATCATTTTTAATAAAAGATAATAAGACAGGTTATGCTATATGTCTATATCTGTTCTTTTTGCCTAATGAGATTTTGAATAACAATTTGGATCTTTAAAATTTAGCATTTAAATATTTCGTCCTAATTAAAATTTATATTGTTGATAACGTCGTAAAGGTAAATAATATTTAGTTAGAATACACATAATATATCAAGGAACTAGTTTTGTGTATGAATAGAACTTGAAAATTCTGGAACTTCTTGATATTGTTTATATTTATATGATGATTAAATTATAGAAAGATATATATTTTTTTCTACCAAAGATCGATTGCAAAAACCGAACTTAAACTGCAGATCTGATTCCAAAGACTAAATTACCATGGTTCGGTTCAAACCAAGAAAACCAGACCTTTGAGTTTCATAAGTTGATACTGAAAAATATATACAAATCTTAGGGTAGACCGGGCTCAATGATTAATAAAAAAATTTGAATTTATAGAGCTATAAGCCAATCCTTAACCAAAAAAAAATAATTTTTGACTTGGTCCGAATTTTTAAAGTTTTTATTAATTAAAAAGATTTTAGCTAGTATTTTGTACAATTTTAAAAGGAAATTATAAATATAAGCAGTAAGTAAATTTTAACCGTATTATATGATTTTAGAAGCCCTCACGTTTGGAATACCTACTCTATGAATTTCCGACAATTTTTTCATGAACATTTAAACTTAATATAAATTATGTTAAATTTTCCATATATTTTCTATATAATTTATAAATGACCCAAAGGTTTACAATTCATAAGATAGATATTCCAAACATGATGGAGTATATTTCTGATAAAATCAGATTTATAGATTTTAAAAAACACACTCAAAAAATGATTTAAAGTCGTAAAAATAACACATTGCCGGAAAAAACACGACGCTAACTTATATTAATCACAGATTTTTTAAATATTAGTTAATCATCATATTGGATAATATCTATTGCTGAAAAATTGAACATCATATTAAAATATCAACCAAGGACCAATGAGATATCTCTAGGTGCAAAAAGAATTAAGACTACCCCTAACCCTAACCCCCTATTTCATTCACATCGCGTTTATTGGCCAAATACCACCTCAAGCCAAACTTTTTCAACTCACTTTTCCAGTCGAAGTCCATCTTCCTTAACCCCCCCCCTCCAACTACCGACCCAAAAGCCAAGCAAAAGAGATGAGCTATTTATTATGTCAATAATTTTTTCAAATATTAATTTATAAGGTAAGATTGAAAATTTGGTTTTAACTTCATCTATTTCGTTGAAGATAGTGAAAAATCCCTCAAATTCTGGTTTAGGATTATATTCGAAATCATCTATATCACGAGAAACTATTTGCCTGTTTGTTATAAGATAACCCTATAAATTAATATATATGTTTTGGTTATGATACATGAAATATAAAAAAATAATTATTGGCTCGTTGGGAAGGGTAAATGCGTGTTTAACACTACTAAATTTACTAATTTGAGCTAGCCATTTTTAGCGTTTTGATTTGAAATCCCAAAAATTTTTATAATTTATAATGAGTCCTACTTTTAATGTTATAAATGTGTTGGCGCTTAAAAAAATGTTCAAAAGATGGTTATAAGTGTGTACCTTTATCTCTAAAGCACAGTGCAAAATTTATTCTATATTTTTTTTTCTTTTTTTGTATAAAATAAATAATTATGAATTTAATTATTAATTAAATATATAAATAAACCTGACCATCAATAACGTACGATATCATCATGATTTGATCAAAACTTTGGTCTGGAAATTTCAAAGGTGCTTTCGTAGTCTCAATATCAAAGGCTATGATAATGGGTTCCTAATGTCAATTATAAATATATCGTTATATCAGTTTTAATTATAATACTAGAGAGCATAGGACAGGTTTAATTTAAGCTCGTTTAAAATCCTTTTTTTTTCTTCTAAATAAAACCCTTAGCCGGCCAGAAATAAAGAATAATTCTAAACCTGGTTATAATTGTTTATCTCTGCATATATCTGTTTTAAACATTACCCATACTCAGAGACTTCTCCAACAAGGATGTGGGTGAGTGGGGATATAAGGCAATATTGTCAATAATATTGGAAAGGGGTAGATAATTATGAAAAGGCTATCGTTATTTGAATAGAATTAGTAAGTTGATATTCTCTTTTGAACTAATTTTGATTTGGTAGGAGAGTGTTGTTCGAGGGGAGGGGATAATATCGTTATTGGCTTAGGAGTAGGTCCCTGCCCATAATCGCTTTTAAGATAGTTGATATATGAAAGTCTCTTCTAATAACTTAAATAATATTAGTTCTAAGAAGATGGTTTTCATCATCATAATCATAAGTTCTAACAGTGATGTCGCTGGGAAAGGTTAAAGAATGGTAGGCACTTGTAAATTAAATTGAAACAAACCTATAGAACTTTATAATTGACTTTCCCACAGCCCTACATGATAAGAGGTAGATGCCACTTCTTTGAATCATTTCACAAAAATAATGAGAAAAAATATTATTATTTTAAATTTGGATAACTAAAATATTATTGTGGTTCTTTGAAGTGAGCCGGTTTTGTTGATGATTTCGCAATTAAAAGATTATTTTATTTACTATATATTTCTTGTAAGTGGGGGGGGGGGGTATAATAGTTTTTATCAAGATTTTAAGTAATAATAAGTTCATAGTCATTTATCGAGTAATAATTGATGATAATAAACATAAATGGGAACTTAAAAATGAATGGACTCGAATAAACTAATTGATATCATTGAATCGCAAATTAGAAATAATTTTATATTTTTATAAAAGTGGAATCGATTAACAAATTAAATTTTTTTAGAAATGACAATCGGATCCGATAACCACCTGCTAATAGTATATATTGTAAAATAAACTAATTAAGTTGAGAGCATATAGCCCTACATTGTCCTATTCGAGTATGATCATCCAACTGAACTTGGATTGGTTAAACTTGGCCATTTTCACTGGTTCATTCGGAACAAAATTTACTTTTAAAATTTCTCATTCAAGTCAGGCCGAATTATTATTTTTCCCATTTTTCATAAATAAAAAAAAATTATTTTTCTCTAGCACTTATAGTTGTCTATTTTTTTAATTAACTCAAAATAGTTTTCTAGTTACAATAGGGCTGCTGCTGATGCTAATCCAATTTTTAAACAATATTTTCAAGAATATAATTATTCACAATTTATAATCAACCTTTATTTTAAATTTAAATTAAACATCAAAATATTTTTATAATAATCACTGACTGGTCTCTCTTCTATATCCGGCAATAAAGTGATCTCTGGGTATATATTATCGAACCCACCCTTTCCTTTAACGTTGTACCAATGTCCAACAAAAATTTTCAAGTCGATGGAAACCCTTATATAGTAAGGCACGTCGTACTCCCTCATATCTAGTATGTGAGAGAACATTTCATCTAGATTAGTAGCTATATTTCGAATGTTCATATCGTTGGATCTATTCGGGGCATCGTCATCGTGCGAACTTTTATTTTATATAAACTTTGGAATTAAATTATTTTTTATAATTCATAAATTTTAGTACTCTAAAATAGTACAGTTATAACAACTACTTAGAGCTCCACAGTCGGTCAGAAGCTTTAATTTAAGACAAAATGTTAAAACATATTTTTTTTAAATTGACAAAAGATTTAAGATAAAACTTTTTGTATGATGAGTAAACATCGAGGGAATCCTTTTTGTCCTTATTTTTTCTGATTATGGGCATGAGACTATTTCTGACCTTCATTAAATCTGAGATGGAAAGAAACGACAATTTGAGAAAGGTACCTTTACGTCCAATTAGGTGATCCGGTTTCTTATAATATTTTTAAAAAAATCATTACTTTTTTTTGACACATTACACTACTTTTTTTTAATCTTAAGTCAGCTGATTTACGTTTCGTAAGCAATAATGTAAAAATGCAACTGTTTGTTGGAAAAGTAAATTTAATTTGGGCCTAGTCTAAAATGGAGTTATATTAAGTACCATATGTTTCTTTTTTAAATTAAGTTGCCTTCAGAAATATATCTAGGTCTTTTTAACCACGTTTTCTGATAATCAAATTCGATTTAGAACCATATTATTTTTAAGATTGGTTATTTATACATAAAATAAATTTTCGATATTCGATTCATATTTTACGAATACGAATAATAAAATTATTCAATTGTAAAATTCTAATGGAATACGAATAAAGAAAATATATTATCTGTCAAATAATTTTTTGTCTATTATTCGAGTAAATATTTGAAAATATTCGACAGATCAGCTCAATCATTAATATTTTTTATAAATATCCAGCCGATATCATTCAATTCGATCCGCTGATAATTAATTATATATTTTTTTAAAATGTTAATTATTTTTTTTATAAATTGGAATAGCTAAGCCCACATATATTTATTTATTTAAACCGATCATTCTGTAAAAAAAAGTTTAGGTTTTATCCTAAAATTAACTTGATTATGAATTGATTTTTAATCATAGAATTAGTCAATTTATTTATCAATCATATCTATTTTTCTTAGTCTGTGTCCATAACATCAAAAAATTAAATCACAAACTTTCGACGTTTTGATGAAAATAAATATATAAGCTGTTGAGGTATTGATAACCTCAACATTCTTTTGAATATAAATTTTAATATTCGTGTAAAGCCTTTAGACATTAATTATTTCATGTTGAACATATGATTGATATTTAATCTACGACACCGTTAATAGATGTATTACATTTTTGGATGTGTAAACTAATATATAATGTTAATTTTAAATTTAATGCAAATCGTTTATTTTGAAAAATAATATATATTATATAGTAAATATTTGACAAATAAATTGACATTGGAAAATTTTGTTCAATCTTAAGAAATTCTTGTAAATATAATTTTAAATAAAAGTATTAAAATAAACGCTAACATAAGCTAAGCTATTTTAAATATAAAATAAAAACATGACCAAAACATAATTTTAGAAATTTCCAAAATTTAACATAAGGTCACATTCTATTGTCAAAACGATCAAAAAAACATGATTTCCGGCATCCCTTTTGATTATTATAAAAAATTCGACAGACTAGGATACGTGTAAGCTCTATTTAGGCAAAGTTTTAGCCTCCTAGCTTTTATACTTTTTTAGATATCTAAGAAGCATGAATATTTACTTTTTTTGCCAGTTTCTCTAATCATTAAATTAATGATTGAATAAATTACGCTATTAATATATGATAAATCTAATATCAAAATAAGGTCTAAACTTTTTATATTTAATAAATAAAAGTGAAAAGTTATTTTAAAATTTTCTAGACCTTTTATTCACAGTATATGGTTTAAAACCTCATAAAGAAAAATGAACATCTCAGATTTTTATAAAAAAAATTAAAGTGAGGCCTCTAAAAAATGGAAAATATTTTTGCATTTTATTTTAATTAAACTAATATTCGTAATAATGTTTATATATGATTATTTCTATTTAATAACTAATCTACTATGTTCCTAACCAACAGAAGAAATATTTTTATAATATGTTTGTATCTATATATTAAAATATGTTTTTATATAATATATTAAATATGTTTTGTTAATGATTAATCTTCATTCCTTGTTTCATATTATGCCTATTTTTTTTAAATCTTGTATGGATGGGGGAAAGGCATATGTTGCATTCACATATGGCTTCCTAAAATATGGATAGATTAATCAAAGAATGCTTACTTATATAATATCTTTCAGTTGCATACAAACTTCTTGTAGAGAAAGTGTGTTAGATACTTCTTGTCAGTGTTAATGGTGAAACTATGATTAAAATTTGTGACTTGGGTAGATGAAGAGTACATCTATACCTGGGAATGTAAAAGATTTAGATGGTAGTAAGGATGTTTCGTTTACTTATTATTTTTTCATGGTCATAGCCAACTACCAATTTGCATTCCAATCCAAGAGGAATCCCTGCATACATTTTTTGTATTCCTGGGATTGGCGTTGCCTTTAAAAATAGTAGTCTAAATAACTTCCTCTGAATCATACTCATAACTTTTATTGTGAATTTAAACTCGATACCGTGTATATTATGTTTTTTAGAACCTTTGAACTAGTTCCTGCAGGTAGCCTTTACTATTATTCTGTCTCCAACAAAGTCACATACTCTTTTTCCATATGCACTAGCTGAAAATGTCATTCTGCTGGAATGCCATCTTTCAAGTGATGATATATATTTGAAAAGATTTTCCAATTTTTCTACTGGACTGTCAAGTCAACCTGATATAAAAGTTAAAAAAAGTTTGGGGTGTCGCATCATAAAAATAGTTCTTCTGTTGGATAGAAAAGGAACTTCATAAATTAGTTATATAGAAATAATCATATAGAAATATAATTATCAGTATTATGTTAATTAAAATTGAACGCCGTCTATTCTAAAAAAATATTTTTCATTTTTTTATTAGTTTTTATTGCTTATGGAGTCATAGATATCAAAAATTTTATAAGAATCTGAGGTCCATTTTTTGAGAATTTTAAATTTTATTGTAGGAATGTGAGGCTAGAAAATTTTAAAAATACTTTTTGAAATTTTATTTTCTAAAAATAAATAAACTTTATTTGGTACTAGATTTATTATACATATTTGCATAATTTTAATCTATCGTCAATATAATGATTACTAATACTCACAAAAAAGGTAATTTTTATACTTTGATCTTAGATATTTTCAAAAGTTTAAAAGCTAGGAGGCTAAAATTTTAACTAAATTGAGATTATATGAACCTTAGTCTGTTATAAGAATTTTTACATAAATGGGATGGAAAAATCGTGATCGATTTGGTAAAATGGTTTTGGATGCCACCTTAGGTAAACATGTGTATCAAATGAAAATTACCTTTAAAATGCATTTTTGTTCCCACATTAAAAAGAACTGTGAATATAAATTCAAATCAAATAATAATAAATATTATGTTAATAGAATATTTTTTAATATATTAAATAGGTATATTAGTTAGAAGAAGCCCATGATTATATTCATCAATTACTAACTTCAAAAATATATTTTGAGAATTTTTGTAGGAGTAATACTTAGATATTTTACATGATAGTAATAAAGAAGGTTGACAGATTAATTTATTTTAAACAAGAAAAAATTTAATGAAATGGAAATATTTTTTTTAAATATAATTATTGATATTTATAGTTGTATATTGATTAGAGGTCTACAAGGAGCTAATAAAAATTAAAAATATTTTTAAAACAATGGGTGGGTGGGAAAATTTGAAATATTTTTGTGCAAATGAGCAAAATGGGCTTATAAATTAAAAATTATTTTATTTTCTTTATTCCACAATATTTCATATTTTATTGGTAGTAAAGATATATTAAAATTTAATAAATAAAAAGCTAAACAACCAATCAAATAATTTTGAAACATTGTGGGAATAAGTGGGCTAAACAAATTTAAATAAATGGTAGGTAACATCAGAAGTGGATAGGCATAGGTGAGTTAAATTTTTAAATTAATGAGCTTACAGGATAATATATTAAATTTTTATTTATAATAATAGAACAATTTCTTAATAATTCTATTATAGCATATATTTTAAGAATTATAAAGGGCATGTGAAAAATTTATGGAAAAGGCAAACTAATTTTTTCCCCATTTTCTAGGGCATAGTGTCCCTGAATGCCATATTCATTACATGACTATATATAATTATAGAATAATGGTAGTTGTTATATAGTTTGGTTTATTTTGGATCCAAAACAGTTTAACTCTCGATTTCCTAGATAGCTAGAAGCAAAGAGTTTTCTTATTGAAATCAAGAATATATTGTTGCATAAAAAATTTGATACAAATATTTACCATATCTAAATCTTCTTTGAAAATTATGTTGATATCATTTATTACACCTGTATATTTTTTATTTAAAAAAGATGCTGTGTCTCTAACATGGTTGGACTTAACCATCAAATAAAAATATGGTGGATAATGAAGTGATATCTATATATGTGATATAAATATTTTATTGATCATGATAATATACCTTAAATTGATTCCCATTATTTTGAATAAAATAATAATCAACTGCACTTAATAATCTTTTATTTTCATCCATTATACAAGTCTAATAATAATGTGTTCATATATAATAATAACATAAAATAAATACAGTATGCATGTTTATCAACCATCCAATTTTCTCAAATGAGTCTAAGGGTTTAAAAAAGTTAAATCTTTCATCAATTTTTTCTTGTAATCGTGTTCTATTTAAATTTAATTCAGTGTCATCCTGAAAACTAAAATTTTATGTTTAATAAAACAATATATTATTTTATAAAACCCTTTAACGTCTATTTCCATTTGAAAGAAGCGGTAAAATTAATAATTATTTATCATAGAAAAAATCAATCATATGATTATTTAAATGTCACTTTCAGCATACAGTCAAAACCGTTTAATTGCGAAAGCTTGGGACCAAAATATTTAAAAATTTCGCAATTATCCGATTTTTCGCAATTATACGATTAAAATTCAACAATTTATTTATTAAAAATCAGTTTGTGTTTTTTATAAAATCATATAAGCCATCAAACTTTGCAATAAATACAATTTTTAATTAATGTAACCAACTATATATTTTAATTTGAATAAGTTATGTAACGAATACAAAAACTAAATTTTAAAAATTTATCTTATTTGTTGAAACATATGATCATAGCTTTTTTTTCTTCCCACCAATAATCCTATATTTTTATCGTCAATTCATCAAGTTATTATTTTATAAAAAGTATTCAATTAATTTAGATCAATCAAATAATATTAAAATATCTGAAGCATTTGAAAGTAATGTGATATATTTTGATATATATATTTATATTTTCTCTAGATCTAGACATGATTATAGACAGAAAGGAACAAAGAAAACAAGACTTAATTATAAAAAGATTGTAATTATTTATGTATTAGCGTTGTTGATAAATTATTTTTTATTGAATAAAATTATAATTAAATTTGTTTACTTGATTTTATCTCATTTTTTATTTAAGATATGTAAGAATTAAAGCAAAAAAAGCTCTTGTGAAAGATAATAACATTTTTTCCTTTACAATACCCTTATATTTATTTCCATTAATTTTAACTACTTTTGTCATTTTACCTTCATTAAATTTACTGAAATATAATTTTACACAAATATTTTATCACTTTTTAAATTCTAATTTATTATTAAAGCCAAATTTTAAAATATTTTGCCTAAAAAACTGGAAACAATAATATTAATATAAAAGAATTTAAGTTTATTAAGTGTTTTGTTTTCATTCACATGATATTTGATTTAAAATCCTATGCCTATTCAAATCTTATAAATTCTAATATTATAAAATGTAAATGTATTAACAGACCATGCTGGAATAAAAGTTTATTAATGCTTTATAACATAAGATTTTATTTGAACTAATTTTATTATACATGTATCACAATTATTATAAAGTAATATAAGATTTAATAAAAATATTTTGTGATAAGAGTTTGGCTAGACTCTGGAGTAAATAATTCTTTTTCCACTATATTCTCTAGCTTTCTTAGTGAATCTTGATCCCTTAGATGTTCATGAGCATATTCAAGAAAAGTATAATAACCATTAAGAGCCTGATTTTTTGTAATTAAATGATCAGATATCTCTAGGTTCCCTTCATCATTCTCGGAGCTTTCATAACCTTCTATAAAAAATAAGATTAATTAAAATTTTAAGTAATTAAACCTTCCAACTCTAATCTTATCTGATTACAAATATCCTGATCATCTAAAATTCCATGGCAGCTAGCATCATCATCGTGTAACGCATATTCTTTAAATATGGGATCAAATTCATCTTCTTCGTTGTCAGTTAATGCTATATCATCCTCCGATTCCCAATCAAATGCCATAGACTTTTCAAAAAATTTAGCTTCAATAAAACACTTTATGATTGTGGTACTTGTCACCTCACCCCATGCAAATTTTATAAGATAGAGGCTATCATAAAGTGTAAATCTTTTATAAAAAGAGGTGGTGTCATTTCCTTCCATCAATGTTATCATTTTTCTCATGATACCCTTTCTATAATGACATTTAAAGGATCTAATTGCACCCATGTCCAAAGGTTGAATTAATGATGTTGTATTTGCTGGTAAAAAAATTAATTTTATATTGTTAAATGTTAATTTTGTTTTGTGACAAGAAGCATTGTCACAAAACAATAAAATTTTCTTCTTTAATGAGGAATCTCATTCTTTAAGAATATCTTCAAAAGTTGAGGTTGTCATCCAGCTGCTTTTATTGGAGTAGTATTTAACTGGTAATTTTTATTTTAAAGCACCTAGGGTTTAATTTCACAACATGTAACATTTTATCAGATCCATCCCCATTTATGATAAATAGAACTGTGACCTTTTTCTTGTCTGGTTTGAAGCCCAGTGGTTGAGTTCCACTAAATTCCATTGTGCCCTTTGGTAATGCTCGGTAGTATAGTCCTGTCTCATCACAATTGTAAATATTACTCCTTTGATAATCTTTAATCAGAGATGGGAGTGTATTTCTGCTCCATTCATTTGCATTAATAATATCTGCACTCCCCTTTTCATTGCAAACATTATGAAAATTTATATTCTGTCTTTTCCTAAATCTCTGCAACCAGCTGCTAGTAGGAATGCCTATAATTTATATATATATATTATAAAAACTTATAATTACCTTCATTGAATGTTTGGCTAAAAAACATAGCTTTTTCTAACATCACTGGCCCATTTAGACTGCAATTTTTACTTCGCATTTGGGTAAATTAAACCAATAAAGCTGCTTCTGTCTTTGGGTAACAACTCATTCTAACTCCTTTAGTTGTAGGAGGTTTATTCCTTAGAAATTGTGAGCATAGATTTTCTTTATTCGCTATTAAACGGTAGATTGTCGAGACGTGGCAATTGTAATTTAATGCTAATTGTGTTTTTGATGTAGTGTTTAATTTATCAATTATTTCTTTTTTATGCTTCAGGGTTAATGTTTGGAATGATTTTTTTACCATTTTTATATTAATTTCTGGCGTGGTATGGAATGAATGAATGAATGGATAAATGAATGGAAAAAGTTAAATAAAAAAAATGATGAATAATTTTTTTCGATAAATTTTTTTATTTTTTCACTTATCCGATTAAATTAACGTTATTGTTATATAAATGGGACCTGAAAAATTTTGCAATTATCCGATATTTCGCAATTAACCGATTCGCAATTATAAATGTAATTTAACATTATACCATAGTAATTATTATCAAAATCGCGGGGTTTTTTCGCATTTAAAAGTTTTTGCACCTAAGCGATATGCAATTAAACGGTTTTGACTGTACCTGGTTTTTTGAATCACACGATTGACATTCTGTAAATGTCACATAGCTTAATATGCAAATGCAACATGTATGTTTGTTAATTATTATATTTGCCATTTTTTTTTATTTAATAATTTAAAGCAGATTTAAAATGTGTTGATCTTCTTCTATAACGGAAGTTTTTATAAAATTTTAAAAAAAGCTGATTATTTTATTTTTCAATTACATCGATTCTGCGAATTTGAGAAACTAATTTACGAATCGCAATCAATTCGTTATGAATGAGATTCGCAAAATCTAGATTTAGCTGATGGTTCACAAATGAAGATCATTTTGTATATCAAGTTACAGGAACATTAAAAGCTAATTCTTAATTGCCAATGTTCTCAAATAAATGACTGGATATACCAATGCATAGGCGTGGACTGGGGGGGGTGGCAAGAGGAAATTCCTCCCTTCAGAAATTTATCACTTTTTGTGAATATCATTTTAAGCTAATAAAAAATACTCCCCTTAGTCCTCCCCCACTCCCTGACCCCAAAAAATGTATGCATATATCTTAAACAATAACTTGAAAGAAAGAATGTAAAAGTTGATATTTTTTTATAAATCTATTCATCATAGTTTATACATTTTTGGAAAAATGCATTTATATATAAAAAAGTTAACCAAAAATGCTTTCTAAGAAATGGAATATAAGCCAAAGATAAGTCATAATTATTAATAATAGATCCATAAAATTACTAAATAATATAATATATCAAATATAATTTTTCATAAGAGTGAGTAATTTTAATTTATTTATTTTAATAAAAGTAAAATATAATTATAAAACTATTGATAAAATTAAATCATAAAGTAAATAAAAAAATTAAAGCATTATACAAACAGTGGAATATTATATGTCGTAGATTTACAGTATGTCTAATTTTATCAATTATCATATGACAATCAATTAATTTTTACCAATATAACGAATTATATATTTTACAGAAAACTATAAAATATTTATAAGGGCATCAGAAAAAATCTTTTAAAGACATTATGGGATGAATAATATGAAGATTAATTTTTAATATCATTTTTAAATTATAATAAATAGATGGCGTTCAATAATTGAATGCAAATTGTTGCTATATTTATTATCAAAAGAATTTATTAGTAAAATTTGTTAAAATATTAAATGTAATTTATTCTTTAACTGTTAAATATGTCTGTAAAACTGGAATTTTACCTAGTATTTTGTAACTAATTCTATATAATAGAGGAATATCAACTATATGTCAACTTACTTTTATAAATAAATTTCTTGTACTTGTTTGGAATAAATTATTACCATGTTTTTATATAAATGTATATACAAGTGATTTATTATATTTTATATAAACTAATAAAAATATATTTCATATTTGTTCCAGGGGGCTTATTTTTTTATTAAAATTAACCTCCTATCTTGTAAAAATATTTTATGACTAAAATCCTGGCTACGCCTATGTATCAATGAATGCAGAAACAATTATTTAATGCTCAAGTATTTATATTTATAAAAAAAAAATATGTTGATTATTTCTTATATCTTTATATTTCTTAAACTTGTTTCTTACTTAGTATTTATTAATCATAGTATTTTTGGTATGGTATTTAGAAGCTAAATCTTGAATATTAAAAACTATATTATTTTTTTCCAACATAAAATTTATTAATCTTGTAATGATATCATATTAATTTTCTATTACATAATATACATTCTTATCAATATTATTATTTTCGTCCTATCA